GAAAATGTTGCTTTTTCAGATTAATCTTTTATTTTAATACTGATAATATTAATTAGACAACATATATCATATACCGGCAGATGCAGAATTATATTATGAACATTTTGAGCTATGTTACATATCCATAGGCGAAACTGTTGAGGAGTTATGAAGGCTTTACCGACTCGTACTATTTCAAATTTTTAAAAAATCGCGGCTATTTTTACAGATGGCCGCTAAACTGACATTTGGCAAAGTGACCCGTAAGTCCATCAACCAATTGTGAACAATTTAGAACTAAGGCTAAGTGAAACCAATAGTTAAACCAATTCATCAAATTGGTACTGAATATATGCCTGTCACATGGACTAATGTTTAAAGAACAGAGATCTGCCTTGCAGAAATACATGACTGGATGACTAGACATTTTCTAAAACTGAATCCTGAGAAAACCGAACTTTTGGTTCTTGGTACAAAACAACAATTATCCAAATTCGCTGAAATAAACAAAAAGAAACAATTATCCCTACATTAAAAGCCAAGAATACTGGAACTACTATTTAACCTAGCCTTTCATTCAAGTGTCATATACAGTCAATATGTTCATCAGCCTTTTACCACCTTCAACAGATCTTCCAAATATAGAAATATCTCATCTCACTCCAGAAATAACAGAAAATCTCATCCATGCCCTTATAACCACAAAACGAGCCTACCACATTGCTCTGCTTTATGGACTTCCTGAGTATAAGTCAGAAAACTACAAAACATTCAAAGTTCTGCAGCACGACTTTTAACTAAAACAAGGGAATTTTATCATATCTCCACAGTACTCCGTGTCCTACACTGGCTGCCCGTCACAAACACGAAATGTGTTTAAAATCTTGCTGCAAACTCATAAAGCCTTGAATGACAAATCACTGTTATTAAAACAGCTGTTCCAACACAAGAAACTTAAAGGAGCTGGGGATCACGTGGCTAAGTGGGTAAGACGCTAGCTCGCTAGCCTGGAGGTCGGGTGTTCGATCCCTGCACTGGCCGAGAAAGTTCATCCAGATTTTCCGGCGTGGTTCTCCCTTGTCAGTGATGCAGGACGGAGGGGCTGACAAGGACAGCTGTCTAGTCGTTCGGATGGGACGAAAAACCGAGGTCCCGTGTACACATTGGCGTGCACGTAAAAGATCCCTTGGCAGTTGGAATTCGATATAAGAGTAGGCCGTAGTGCCGCTGTCCGGGCAAAAATTTCCCTCATAGCACACTGTATGGCGTATGCCCGTCTTCATTAGCCCAGGTTAGGAGCAGAACAGTAGGACGTTAAACCCCATTTCATTTCCTTAAAGGAGCTAAGTCTCTAACTCAATATCATCCAAAATCTTCAACATTGAAAACACGAATTATTTGTCAAATTAAATCAACATTCATGTTGTGATCTTACCGGAAAAAGATGGGCTTTTGATATCCAATATTTAAGACAAAATAAACATTTTACCATTGGTACACGAATCGTGTATCATAATGCGCTTCAGCCCCAGTTGTATCAAGAGACTCGAGGGACGAATCTAGACACATTGCACCAAATCAAGAGGAGTATGTAGACTGGAATAACTGGACGCTAGAAATTTGCACTCGCTTGAGACTGCTGGCTTATTTCGCCGAACATACCTGATTAGAAATTGGGGTAAAAACGAAAACCATTGAATGTAAATCAGTTTATATACATTCATACTACAGTATTATACGTTGCGGCCCACGTTTGTCAATTTCTAGGTCCCAAATGTTAGCGATTTAGCTCCTTTAAGGTCATCATCAACAAACGAACTGCTAACTCCTTCTGTGAAATTAGTACTAGAAACACGAGCTTTCTCATTCTCAGCCCCCTTCCTGTGGAAGCTTTCATGAACTGGAGACGGCATGACGTCATTTTACCATTATGACGATTGGCTGTGTGAAGTAAATATAAAACCTCTTTTCTTTTAAAACAAAATAACGTAATACCTTATTATACCCATACTTTTTCTCGACTCTTTGATGAAAATGGGAGGGTATAAACCGATACACGGCCACTTTTCAACTGATTGTATCAGTTGAAAACTGGCCGTGTATCAGTTGAAACGGGACAAAAATAACAAAATCATGATTTACATATTTATTTGAACATCTACAACCCGTTTTGAACATGTTATGGTAAAAGAGTCATCATTTTCAACTGTCTCAGCACTTTTCGAATGTGCGTCACTCTCAGTCAGATTCTTACATTTTGTCTCACATTTCTTTACATTTTGATATCTAGTCGCACTTTCACATTTTGTCGCACTTCCACATTTTGTCGCACTTTCACATTTTGTCGCGGCTTATGCTCATCCGCAGCACATAATGCAAATATTTTACTATTATAAATTAATCTCTTGGCATTTTCAACACTAAACACTTTCACATTTTGTCGCGGTTTATACTCACCCGCGGCACGTAATCCAAATATATTACTAGTATAAATTAATCCATTGGCATTTTCGACACTACAAACTTGAGAACTCGACAATTCCAACTCTTCTTCATTTAATGGCTGTTCTTGTTTTTGTGTGTCAGTGGATGTCGCGAAGTTAATGAATTGATCTGTGCGGAAATTAACAAATGTACCTTGCTTATCAAAAAAGTTAAAATCCAATCTTTTGTACTGATCTCGAAGTGTCACCATATTCCTATGCAATTGGTATTTTTCCTCGTGTTTGGCGGAATTCGACTCATCTGCATGGCTTTAATTTCTTGTTCTGTGAAGGATCGGGCTTGTAAATCTTCGCGGTAATTGAAATCTCTTTCAGAACTGATATTCTCGGTCTTTGAAATATATATCTGTGACATTAAAAAGTAGGATTCTTCCACGAATTCCCGCATTCATTTCTGCTATCCACTACAATCGATGCAACCAGGATGTTGGCAAAACAACAAGAAATGGCTATTGTTCAAAATGATTGGATGATGTTTGCTTTTCTCAACCAATCAATATCCCTGTTATGAACATTTTCCCTGACCTGATTTAAACCGTGAAATGCACGTGCGGTGTACTGACATCATTTACCTGAGTAGAAATAAGCGTTTAACAAGGCTGACACTTGCACGATTCCGTGGCACGCATTTGCACGACTCGAGTCGTGCCAGTGCGCAAACTAGTCGTAAACTGGTGTGAAGTGTGCGTAAACCCGACGTGACTGCGTGCCATGTTGGGGCGAGAATTTTTAAATGTTCAAAATTTTGGTCAGGACAAAATTTAGCGACCGGGTCGTGAACTATGCGCAAACTGTTCGTGAACTCGTCGGGACGATGCGGGAGGATGCGTGCCAGTGCGTGGTAGTGCGCGCCATGCCACGACTGTCACGAACTGCCACGAATAGTTCACGACTAGTTCACGACAGTGGCGTTCGCGTCGGTGCAGATAGAATTTTTTTTTTTTTTTTTTGAATGTTTATTTCAGAATTCATTGAATAATGCATTGTGCTGCTACAGAGAACTGGGAGGGCATTTATAAAAATAAAAAAACACAACTCTTGAATGGATTATCAGATTCAACTCAAATTCAAATAATGTTTTAATATTCCTTGGCATTCTCATCTGAACTTACAATAATACATGGGTAATGCTGTCTTTAACAAGATTTGATGATTTCGGATTTCGAAAGTGGTGGATCTCTGGAACAAGAGACTAGGAATTCATGTGGATGTCTTATTAGATCTGCCCCCCCCCCTTATTTTTCACATGTACAGTTTGAGGCGTCTTCCATCTTAATAGATCCGACAGGTCAGTCTGAATTTCAGTCTCGCTGATCCTTTGCATTCTTCTGGGTATGATGGCCGGTTAGAGGCAGCACCCCTGCAGGTGTCGGTCAGTCCTCCATCCACCAGGGATCAGATCATGTGTGTCCGGATCTTCGCGGTTCACTTCTGAAATTGCGTGTGGGTATCTGATGAGGATGAGGTTGTGCAGGACACAGGCGCACATGCTGATCAGGTTGATAGTGTCGGGGTGCTGATGCATCGTCGTCAAGTAGCAACGGAACCTTTTGAGACAAAATTCCAAAGGAATTCTCCACGACACGTCGGGCACGAGACAACCTGGACCTGTGACCGATGGGAGAATGGTTTCATCATCCAGGTTCGGAGAGCAAAGGCGTCATCCCCTACGAAGTGATAGGGCACTGGCTGGTCAATAGGGCAATGATTGTGTCTCTGACATTCAGCATGTTGTCTCTTCCACAGCCAGGGGGGTGTCATTAAACATCAAAACCTTCAAAATAAAAATTATTCCACGATTTCTACCCGAAAAGACGACGGATGGGAATTATGTAACAAACCAAATCGCGCTATATGTGGATATAGAGGGGATCCGTCCCTGCTTTCCTACTGGCAATTTCTTTTCCCTTTGTGTTAGATTTAGATAAAGAGCTAGCCATTCTTGCTACAATAGTTAAAAAAAATATATATATAATGTAAAATGAACAATGTGAAAATGTCATTCAAATTACTCTATTGCGAGCGAAGATATTAGCCTTTAAAGGTTTAACAAGACGTGTGCAATAATTTCAACCACCGCACTGGTTGTTCGAAGCTAAGTCTCGCTCCTCCATTTTTAGCTTAAATCAAAATATGGCTGAACTGTTCTAATCTATTTAATATCGGAGAAATATGTTAATTAATGTCTAATTAATAATTTAGATAACATTTCAGGCCTAAAGAAAGATCCGCAATAGGCAGATTTAGCTCTTGCATAATGTATGTTTTAATAGCCGAAATTTTGTATAAACTTGCAATATCGCTATTGTTTAGTTAGCTTTCCGCTTTATGGGTTTCATAATACTACACGTTCCCATGATCATAAATCAGACTCGAGGCGTATCCCGACCAGTTGAAAAAAAAAAAAAAAATGTTACTATTCTTTTTTAAGAATGTCTTTCATGGTGTATACTTGTCTTCATGGTGTATACTCGTCTTCATGGTGTATACCCGTCTTCATGGTGTATACTCTGTAGACTTCACACAAAAATGACAATAACGGAGTTGACCATTAACGCCTCTCCAGTAGGTCTCGCATATAGAGCTCAAGAGAATAGTCCGAGTACGCAGATACTAATGACGTATTACGTAATTATTCGCACGAGGTCTTTGGTAAGCCTTTGATGTTGCAAACACGCTAGTCTAGTTCCAATTGAAATTTACAGTTTTGGTAGGACACAATTTGGTATGTAAACTAAATTTATGTTGAAAAGATAGATAAAACGCCTCTCTTTAGTTTGCCAGCTAAGTCATATATTTAAGTACATTTGTAGATTTATTAGAATGATATTTGTATGCTGCCCAAATGTAGCAAATTGGCAGCCATATTACTTCATACCCGCCATATTGATAGTAGTAGCAATTCATTTACGAAATGATGAGTTTGCCTGTCTGTTATTTCGTATGAAAACGAATTTGTATTGATAATTGATCGATGTAACTATGATTTACGTCTAAGCTGTGTCTGTGAAGTGTATAGTAATTAATGTAAACTTTGTTGGAAGTCTATTATTTGACAGTACGCAAAAAGGCCTAAATTTTAGGGACAGTCTAGTCCACGACAGATTTAGTTAAGATTTTTAGATGTTGATGTGTGTTCTTATTGTTGCTTTTGTCTCGTTGCAGCTAATATGTCTATGTTTGTACACTTGTAAGTGTATTCCATGCACCAGACAATATTGAAGTTATAATGTCATAATTTAGAACTTGAAGAATGTCTTTGCTGATGTGATGTTAAAATGATGTTATTCCGAGTCTGCAGATCAGATCTATATCTTATTGACCTGTCATATTATGAGATGGATGTTCTGAAATATTATCGTCATTAAACCTTGTCATAGAGTAAAGTTGTTCTGATGTTTGGAAACTTATTCAGCAAACCTACCGCAATTTTAGTAGTCGCAGTATGTCTAGTTAGCCGCAGCTACATCTTAATTAGCAAATTATTACCAGATTTCAGTTGGAACCAGTCTACCGTTTGTTTGAAAATGGATCCGAATTATAGAAGAAGTGTGTCTGCTGAAAACTTGTTAAGTCCACGCATGTTAAGTCACGGTTTCGTCCAGAAGTCGTTGCGTGAGTTTTCTTCAGATGTAAATAGTCCACGCTTGTTAAGTCCAGATATCCGTAAGACGGTATCTGAGCGTGTGTTTCGTAAGAACTCTCCTCATGGTAGCTTGTTAAGTCCACTCTTGTTAAGTCCAGGTGTTGTCGAAACGTCTGAGAGTGTGTTACCAAGGAACAGTACTGGTGGAAGCTTGTTAAGTCCGTGCTTGTTAAGTCCAGGTATTGACGTAATACCTGAGCGCGTGTTTCCGCCAGACTCTAGTCAAAATGTCAGGTCCGAATGCTATGTGTCCTGTCATTCAACTAACAGTTATGTTAATGATACTAATGTTGAAGTTCTGATTAACAAACTGAATATTAGAAACAAAGATATAACTCTTCTGATAATAACAGGAATTGATGTAGAAACTGTTAGATCACAGTATAAAGAATGGTTGAGTCTTTATGAACAGTATCAAGTCTGTGTAAATAAAACTAAATTTACGAAATTGGGCAGTCCTGATTTGCGAATATTCGATAGTGAGGTCAAAAGGTTTCGAAATTATGTTGAAGAGTGGTTTCAGCTCCAAAGAACCGACTCTCAGATAAGACCTGAAGACAGTGCCAGTAATCATGGAAGCAGAAAGTCTACAAGATCTAGTTCTCGGTATACTGACATATCATTGATCAAAATTCGACAAGAGCAAGAACGGGCAGTATTGTTAGAAAAACAGAAATTGTTAATAAAGAGACAGCAACTAGAGAAAGAGAAATTAGAGATAAAACTACGCGAAGAACAACTAAATCTAGAGACAGAAGTGGCTGTCGCAGAAGCAAAGGCTAATGTTATTGATCGTGAACTTTTACAAAATGGTTCTTCACGCTCCTGCCAAACTTATGTTAAACAATTACATGTCAATTTAAGTAATTCAAGTGGTGTTTCAAATTTTGTTAGTAACAAAGATTGTAAACCTTTAAAAAAGGGCTCTTCACACATTTGTCAAACTTCTGATAAGCCATTAATTGTCAATCTTAGTAACTTAAATGGTACTCCAAATTTTGTAAACAATGAAATTCAGTCAGCGTCTATTGCAAAAGTTAATTCAAATTATGATTTTAACCGTGATCTTATACAGTCTCTTAAGAGACCTCAAATTGATGTCAAAAAATTTGGAGGCGATCCAATTGAGTATAATAGATTTATGAGACAATTGAGTTCCAATGTTTTGATATTCTGTGACAATTTTGAAGACAGGCTTAATATTTTAGAAAATTATACATATGGTCAGCCCCACCGCATTGTCTCTGGACTCAGTTATCTTAATGCCGAGATAGCTTTCAATACTGCACTTAGAGAATTTGATGAACGATATGGTGATACGGACATTATTGCTTCAGCCTTTGTTAATAAGGCATTAAAGTGGCCTCCTATCAAATCTGATAACGCAAAATCATTGGACGAATTTGGTATTTTCTTGACAGAATGTTTAAATGCTGTTATAAACATTAATTCTGTAAAAATCTTAGATTATCCTGAGAATTTAAAGCAATTAGTCAGTAAGTTGCCTTACTATCTTCAAGATCGGTGGAGAAATGTGGCTTTAAGGGTTAAGGGTGCTAATTGTATTCCATCTTTTGAGGATTTAGTTAAGTTTATCCGTGAAGAATCTAGAAAATTATCAGATCCTATTTATGGTAAAGATGCCATGCAGGCAATTTGTTCCCCAGTACAACCCCCTCAGCTTAACAGGCCACCACACTTTAGTCAAGGGTCACAAAGGCAGAGATCTAAGAATTTTCATATAGATGTAAATAAGAAACTCATATGTCACTTTTGTGGTGAAAAACATTTCATTAATGATTGTGGAAAACTTAAGAAACTTTCTTATGATGAAATCTATAAATATATTCGTGATGAAGACCTTTGCTTTGGTTGCCTTAAACCTGGGCATAGACGTTATCGATGTTGGTATAAATTAGATTGTTTGAAATGTAATGTAAAACATCCAACCATATTGCATAATGACAAAAATGGAGAAAGGGATGGTTCTCATATGGAGGCCGGTCCTGCACAGCAGAGTTGACTATGCACATGTACAATGCCCATAGTACCGGTTAAAGTTGTAAATGGGTGTAAAATTGTTGAAACTTATGCTTTCAATGATTCTGGGAGCAGTGTGTGTTTCTGTACACATACTTTAATGTATGCCTTAGGTCTAAGTGGTAAACAAACTAGTGTTAATTTACAAACTATGAATAAATCTAATAGTATGCCTACTATTATATTAAGTAATATCAAAGTTTACAGGTACGATATGTCAGATTCTATCATTATTAAGAGTTGTTATACTATTGATCAAATTCCTGTGACAAAGAGTGATGTCCCTTTAGTTAGTGATATCTCAAAATATCCACATCTTGAGGATATTGACATCCCAGAATTAAACTGTGATGTTGGTTTGTTAATAGGTAATAATGTTGCTGAAGCCTATACTCCTCAAGAGTATAGGATAGGGCCACAAGGCTCTCCCCACGCGTCTAAGACTGCAATAGGATGGATATTGTGGAATGTCCTGCGCGAAGAGAATGAATCATCAAAATTAATGGCAAATCGTGTCTTGAGTAACAGTATAAATTTATGTGCTGAAATTGAACAATCTCAAAATTTAGATAGACTTGTTCGGACTATTATTAATTTAGATTTTCCGGAACGAAACATTGACGATAAGAAGGAAAATTCGGTGTTAGATGAACGCTTTATTAATAATGTCAGTGATTCAATTATTCTTGATTCTAGTGGGCATTATCAAATTGATATTCCCTTTAAGGATAATAATGTTGTGTTACCTAAAAATTTTAATATGGCACTTGATAGACTTGAATCTTTACGGAGAAAGTTTAGAAAAAATCAGAAATTTCATGAAGACTACACAAACTTTATGAATTCCATGTTTGAAAAATCTTATGCTGAGGAAGTCCCCAAAGAGGAGATTAATTGTGACAATGACAGACTATGGTTTATACCCCATCATGCGGTAGTTCACAAACAGAAGGGGAAATTACGTGTAGTTTACGATTGTTCGGCTAAATACAGAGGTGTATCTTTAAATGACACCTTATTATCTGGTCCAGATTTAACTAACACTTTATTAGGTGTCTTATTGCGTTTTCGATTAGGTAAAATAGCAGTTATGGCAGACATTGAAGGAATGTTCTTTCAGGTAAAGGTCCCACCAAAACAGAGACATAGTTTACGATTTTTGTGGTGGCCTAATGGCAATTTATCTGTTGAACCTAAACAATATCAAATGACAGCTCATCTTTTCGGGGCAGTGTCTTCTCCAAGCTGTGCGAACTTTGCCTTAAAAAGTACTGCAAACAACAATTCTCATAGATTTAATGACTATGTTTGTCAAAGTGTTTTAAATGACTTTTATGTCGACGACTTATTAAAATCGACAGACCTTCCAGAGGATGAGGTTGTAGGCCTTGTACAGGATCTCACAAAACTTTGTAAATTAGGAGGCTTTCACCTTCATAAGTGGATAAGTAATAGTGCATTCGTTCAGGACTCAATTCCGCTAGCTGAACGTGGTAAATTGTCGCAAATATCGTTATTAGAAGACGACCCTGTTATAGAAAGGGCCTTAGGATTATAATGGGATGTTTCGTCCGACTCGTTAACATTTCAAATAAACTTAAACAGCAAACCCTATACAAGAAGAGGGATCTTATCTATTTTTAGTGCTGTATACGATCCTTTGGGTTTGGCCGCACCTGCGCTGCTCCCTGCTAAAATATTACTTCAGGAATTGTGTCAAAGTGCTTACGGATGGGACGATAAAATTAGTGAAAGATATTCATTGAAATGATCAGAGTGGTTGTTGGATTTACCACTATTACAAACTCTTAGAATCCCTCGATGTGTTAAGACTATTTCATTTTGTGATGTTGTATCAACTCAGGTTCATCATTTTTCCGATGCAAGTGAAGCCGGGTATGGTGTATCGAGTTACCTGAGGCTAGTCGATAGTAATGGCGTAATAAACTGCTTATTAATCTTAGGAAAATCGAGAGTAGCACCCCTGAAGAAGATTTCGATTCCACGTATGGAATTAACTGCAGCAACAATTGCGACCAGGTTAAACAAGAAGCTTATTGATGAACTCAAGTGTCGGATTGACAAAGTGTATTTTTGGACAGACAGCACAACTGTGCTGAGGTACATTTCAAACGATGCAACAAGGTTTAAAACCTTTGTGGCTAATCGCGTGTCAGTTATTCGCGAAGCTACATCTGTTGATCAATGGAACTATATTTCATCGAAAGAAAATCCGTCGGATGTTGCATCACGTGGTTGTAGCGTTAAGACTCTTATGAATGACAATAATTGGTTTAAAGGTCCAAGTTTTCTACAGGATGATCAATCAACGTGGCCTAGTGGTAAAATTCCAAACAATTTGGATCAAGATGAAATCAGCGATTCAGAAATTAAACGTGTTGTGACTGTAACTGTTGAACGTGAAAGTCCAATTGACAAACTTGTTAAACATTATTCTAACTGGAAATGTCTTGTGCGTGCTGTAGCGCTATTAAGGCAGTGCGTCAGATGGTGTCGAAATAAATTAACTAGCTTTACATTGACTGTCGAAAATTTGGAGGAAGCCAAATCATGTATTGTCAAGCATGAACAATTAAAGTTCTTAGGCGAAATTGTCGAAGTTTGTGAACAAAACAATCAAGAACATAAAGCCAAACTTTTAAGGTCTATAAATGTGTCAAAATTAGATCCGTATGTTGCCAACGGTGTTTTACGGATCGGTGGACGATTGCGCAGAGCAGATATGTGTTTAGATGCAAAGCATCAAATAATATTGCCTAAAAACTCTATAATTTCAACACTGATTGTGAGAGAAGCCCATGCTCGCGTTGGACATTTGGGTAAAAACGCTACACTTTCAGAAGTTCGTAAAGTTTTCTGGATAATTGGTGCAAGTAACTTAATTAAATCGATTATCTCAAAGTGTGTTGTATGTCGTAAATATTCTGCGACCAAACTGCAACAGAAAATGGCTGATTTGCCTGCTGAGCGTTTAATATCGGGTGAAGCGCCATTCCATAGGACAGGAATAGACTACTTCGGACCTTTTGAGATCAAACGCGCAAGATCGGTTGTAAAGCGTTATGGCGTTATTTTTACGTGTATGAATAGTAGAGCAGTACATTTGGAGATTGCATCATCATTGGACACTGACTCGTGTATCAATGCAATAAGACGTTTTATCGCACGTCGTTCTATGCCAAAATTTATCCGTTCTGACAATGGGTCAAATTTAGTCGGGGCCAACAGAGAACTTAAACTATGTATTGATAAATGGAACAAAGATAAACTAACAAAGGAATTCACTCAGAAAGGAATTCGTTGGGAATTTAATCCACCTGCCGCTTCCCATTTTGGTGGTGTTTGGGAGCGTTTAATTCGGATTGTTCGCAAAGTGTTGTGTTCGCTACAAAAGGATCAGATTAGTCGTCTCGACGATGAGTCGCTTCAAACATTAATGTGTGAAGTTGAGCACATATTAAACAATCGACCGATTACTAAAGTTGCTGAAACTCCAAACGATTTGGATGCATTATCTCCTAATCAACTGTTATGCGCAGGATACAAGAACTTGTCTTATTCACCATCAGCAACTGAGAAAGCAGATAGTTACATAAAGCGTCGCTGGCGTCAAGTTCAATATTTAACTGACATATTCTGGAAACGTTGGATCCATGAGTATTTGCCATGCTTACAGGAGCGCCAAAAGTGGTTATATCCAAAACGAAATGTGGAAATAGGTGATATTGTGCTTGTAATTGATAGTAATATCAGAAATTCGTGGGCCTTGGCTCGTGTTATAAGTGTTATTACTGATAAAGGTGGTTTATCGAGAATAGCAACAGTTAAAACCAAAAGTGGTATATTGCAACGCCCAATTTCAAAGTTGTGCTTAGTGTTAGAATGTGACGAAAAGTTATAAGAACACAATTTGTGTTAAAATCACAATACTCCGTCCATAAATATGGATATGTGAAATAAATTTCAGTATTATAATATTGAAAATCATAATCAGTGAAATGCATGTATGTAAGACTGTAAATATTTAAAATACTTTGGAATGCTGTATTGTTTGATTAGTTATTGCAATTAGTTATTAGTTAAGGCTTTGTAATTGCTACTCTAGTTTTGTCAATTAGTTATTAGTTAAGGTTTTTTGTAATTGCTACACTATGTTTCGTCAATTAGGAGGCCGGAATGTAGACTTCACACAAAAATGACAATAACGGAGTTGACCATTAACGCCTCTCCAGTAGGTCTCGCATATAGAGCTCAAGAGAATAGTCCGAGTACGCAGATACTAATGACGTATTACGTAATTATTCGCACGAGGTCTTTGGTAAGCCTTTGATGTTGCAAACACGCTAGTCTAGTTCCAATTGAAATTTACAGTTTTGGTAGGACACAATTTGGTATGTAAACTAAATTTATGTTGAAAAGATAGATAAAACGCCTCTCTTTAGTTTGCCAGAAGTCATATATTTAAGTACATTTGTAGATTTATTAGAATGATATTTGTATGCTGCCCAAATGTAGCAAATTGGCAGCCATATTACTTCATACCCGCCATATTGATAGTAGTAGCAATTCATTTACGAAATGATGAGTTTGCCTGTCTGTTATTTCGTATGAAAACGAATTTGTATTGATAATTGATCGATGTAACTATGATTTACGTCTAAGCTGTGTCTGTGAAGTGTATAGTAATTAATGTAAACTTTGTTGGAAGTCTATTATTTGACAGTACGCAAAAAGGCCTAAATTTTAGGGACAGTCTAGTCCACGACAGATTAAGTTAAGATTTTTAGATGTTGATGTGTGTTCTTATTGTTGCTTTTGTCTCGTTGCAGCTAATATGTCTATGTTTGTACACTTGTAAGTGTATTCCATGCACCAGACAATATTGAAGTTATAATGTCATAATTTAGAACTTGAAGAATGTCTTTGCTGATGTGATGTTAAAATGATGTTATTCTGAGTCTGCAGATCAGATCTATATCTTATTGACCTGTCATATTATGAGATGGATGTTCTGAAATATTATCGTCATTAAACCTTGTCATAGAGTAAAGTTGTTCTGATGTTTGGAAACTTATTCAGCAAACCTACCGCAATTTTAGTAGTCGCAGTATGTCTAGTTAGCCGCAGCTACATACTCGTCTACTGTCAGTTTTCAAAAGAAATTTCGCGCCTGTGAGAAGAGAATCACGTGGGACCCCATGAAGTGGTAACGCTTCGCGAAGCCAGGTTCAGGGACCTTGGGCCCTCGGTCCGTCCGTGGTATCATCTAGACCGATAGTAACCACGGGTTATGCATTTCACAAGTTCTTGTGATTGCCATAAAAATACTGTTTTTCATAAGCAATTAGAAATAAAAGCAGGCAGAAATGAACCTGTGGTTAATGTCGGGCCTAATGACACCCCCGAGCGGAGTGATCCTTGCTCCGTGAGGGTGGGGGTCCGGTGAGGTTCTCTTCGAACAGGCGAAAATTGTGCTTTGTAGAGTATATCTAGGCGTTTTTAGCTTTTGCACATGTATCAAAAACAACGTAAATTCATGATAAAAAGGGGACTCCAAACCATGCAAGAACATTAACTAGTTTTGGGAATCCTAAAACTACAATACTCCTGTTCAGCCCAGCCCTAAAAAGGGAGGGGAAAGATAGATGTTAAAACGTGTTCCAAATTTCGGCATTACTGGATTACTTAGTTAAAGTTGCAATTGCAAATTTTCAAGTTATATTTTTAAAATGTATTAAAATAAAGCCTTAAAATAGATGGTATCCATAAACAGTCCTACCTTGTTAAAGAATAATCCTATTAATCCTATAATTCGCTATTGCCAGCTGAGAAATTGGCAAAAATATCATTTTTAACTTCAAATTCCAACGTTGAAAAATGGCTGCCCCATGTTGTCAATAGCAAAACAGGGGAGGTAATTGTGTTGTTATTTCCTGTGTCATAGATTTTTAAGGGTGGGAAATAATGCCCATGATCGTATAATAGTGATTTGATAACCTATTGAGCAAAAGACATAGAAATAATTATGTTTTGACTTTCTTAGAAAAATTGAAATTCTCGCTTTAATAATCATTAGAAATACGCCATATAAAATGATAAATCGTATATTATTTTACAGGTACAAAATAGAAAATAAGATATGTTTCCGTTTTATCCAATAAACAAGTTATTGTCATTTCATGCAAAAAGATGTGGTGTTAAAACGTGTTGCAAATTTTAGTATTACATAGTAGGCCTTAAATTATCATATAAATTAACACTTGGTATATTGATCGAGTATTTTACAGCAACAAACACCTTTTCCGTTTAATAGAAAATTCCAATAAACAATATATTGCTAGTTCGAGTGGAAAGTGCTACAGGTGGTAGATAATATCTAAATGTTGTTTAAATGCATATTTTCAATAACTTATTATCCAGATAGATGTTTATATGACGGCCCACTTGGATATAAAATAATATTTTGCGTGAAATAGGCGTCCTGAATACAATGCAACATAGGCGGCTTATAAAATTCTGCAGTCTAGTAGTTTATTCAGTCCGAAGATACTCCATCTTGAGAAAACAATATATTGTGACGTCACATCTTGTCGTTTTATTTTAAAGTAGCTGGAGTCTTTAACTCAGTATCATCTAAAGTTTTCGACATTGAAAACATGGATTATTTGTCAATAAAAATCAACATTAATTTGGACCTCTGATTTCCAATATTTAAGACAAAATAAACATTTTACCATTGGTACACGAATCGTGTGTCATTTGAAATAATTATGGGACTCGATGAACGACGCTAGAGATATTCCAGAAATCATGTCAAACGGTGACCTCATATTCCAATCTGGAGAGCATGCGCAATAAATACTACGGTATAGACTGGAATAACCAGATGCTAGAGATTGCCATTCGATTGAGACTTCTGACATATTTCGCCGAACATAACTGATTTGAATTTAGAGTTAAAACGGAAACGATTAAATGTAAATCAGTTTATATACATTCATATTACATTATTATATGCGTTGCGACCCATTTGTGTCAATTTCTAGGTCCCAAATATTAGCGATTTAGCTCCATTACACTATAACCTCAGATTGCCTCGTTCGGCATTTTTTTCCAAACGTGGCAAAAACGTGCTAATAAAATTTTTGCCACAATTTTGCCACGTTGTAACGTGGTAAAAACAAAATGCCACGTTTGTCTGGAGTTCCAAAACGTATTTTTATACGCCCACATTTTCATGTGGACGTATTATGCCGTCGCCCCTGTCCGTCCGTCCGTCCACAATTGTTGTGGACCCTCTACAGGTCACAATTCTTATCCGATTTTGACGAAACTTAAAATATAGGTTTATCTCCAAAAGATCTCGGCTGCTTTCGATATTGGCATGTATCGGATTAAAACCTCATGGATTGTGGCCCCTGTTTGTATGAAAAATCACGTTTTTAGCTTGTGGACCCAATAGAGGTCACAATTTTTATCCGATTTTGTTGAAACTTGAAATATAAGTTTATAACCCAAAGATCTCGGTTCCTTTCGATATTCGCGCATATCGGACCGTAACTTCCTGAATTATGGCCCCTGATTGTACGAAAAATCGCGTTTTTAGCTTGTGAACCCTATAGAGGTCATAATTTTTATCCGATTTACAAAAAACTATTATTATATCACCGTTACACCCTAAGGACGACTGAGTTTGAATTTCGTGAAAATCAGCCCAAAATTGTCAGACAAAATGGCCGCCGTTCGGTCTCAAATAGCGTAAAAATACGGTATATCAAGGTTGTAGACCCTATAGAGGTCACAATTTTTATCCGATTTTGTTGAAACTTCCTGAATTATGGCCCCTGATTGTACGAAAAATCGCGTTTTTTGCTTGTGGACCCTATAGAGGTCATAATTTTGATCCGATTTGAAAAACCGTATTATTATATCACCGTTACACCCTAAGGACGACTGAGTTCGAATTTTGTGAAAATCAGCTCAAAATTGACAGACAAAATGGCCGCCCTTTGTTCTCAAATAGCGTGAAAATATGGTATATCAAGGTTGTGGACTTTATAGAGGTCACAATTTTTATCCAATTTTGTTGAAACTTGAAATATAAGTTTATAACACAAAGATCTCGGTTCCTTTCGATACTTGCGCATATCGAATTCCTGAATTATGGCCCTTGATTGTAGGAAAAATCACTTTCTTTTTAGCTTGTTCTCTATCCATCTCTCGAAAATGTGGGCGTATCCTGCCTGGCAGCCGCTGGTTTTTAAATTGCCATGTTTTTGGAACGAGGTATTTTGACCAGAACGAGGCTGTTCACAAGGTTAGATACATGATTTTTCAAAATGGTTTGGGTCGGGGTTCAGCCAAACCAAAGTTTCATCGAGCGCATCGAGGACAGCATAACATTATTTGGTGACACTTTCAAGCGATTATGTAGAGAAAAAGACACAAGGGAAAGTCGACTGGAAATGACATTCGTTGCATAAAAGAGTTTGTTACATTCTTTGTTCACACATTATTTCCAACAAAGAGATGTGAGAAATGAAAAACAGCCAAGTTTAAAGCGGAGCGAACTCAATAATTGTTTTATAGGCCTTTGAATATTATTAATTACAAATATGTTGTTCCCTTTTTTTATATAATAAACGATATTATATTTAATATATCTCATGAAATTTTATGTAATTGGCATTCAGTTGTATGTATAAAAATTGCAAAAGCAATTAAATTAAAATCCATCGAAAAATGAAATAGACACAATTTAAGTTTATAAAATGACATGCAAGGCGGGGCGATGCGAACAACCATATTAAAAATGATACATTTACATCCTTCAGGTGACCGGCCTACGACTGGATTCTTATATAAAGGGTCGATCTGGACTATATTTTGGAGAATAAAACTGCTTAATATTGTGATAAAAGCCATTAATATCTTCTACCTTTGGACCGAGCAACTAACTCAATATACATGATACGTTTAAATCTTAAACCCGTCGTGTATTATATAAAAACAGGAACAGCATATTTGGTTTGGCTGAAACCCACCCCCGACCCTTTTGAAAAATCGTGTATCCAACCTTGTGATCAGCCTCGTTCTGGACAAAATACCTCGTTCCAAAAACATGGCAATTTAAAAAAAAAATACGTTTTGGAACTCTAGACAAACGTGGCATTTTGTTTTTACCACGTTACAACTTGGCAAAATTATGGCAAAAATTTCAATACATTTTTGCCACGTTTGGACAAAAATGCCATACGAGGCATTATGAGGTTTATAGTGTTAAAGCTACGTTCCCAGGAAAGTATTTATTGGGTGGTTATTTCCAATAAAAGTATGGCAATTTTGGTATATATGGAAAGTAGAAATATCCAATCTTACTAGAAAAATAATGGATTCCCTGAAAAACACTCATGGAGCACATACAGGACAAAATTTGCGGGTTTCCCTAATCAACAGCCCGACGATTAGGAGTGTCTGCACGCGTGACGTCGAAGGTTGCACGCGGATATTGAGCGCTTGATGTACATGTTTATAAACTTTATGAAGGGTTAGACGTACACACTTTCTGAGATAAAAATCACGGAAAAAGACGCGGGCAGTGGATAATCCGAAAATTTAATTAGGCTTCGATATTTGTAATAAATAGTCAGCGATAAAGGCAACATCGTCTTGTGTATGCAATGAATTCTCCTCCGACCTCGCACCCGTTGTGTCACGTGACACAAACATAACCTCTTTTGATCGATTTTTTTTATGGCCGGCTATTCCCTGACATATTGCAATATTTTGAGAAGTATTTGAAGCAAAATTATGATAAATTAATTAGTTTGAATACGTTTTTAGTCCAAATATATCATCAAATCACTCAGTTTTTATCTGGGAATGTATCTTTAAACTGTTTCCTTTACAGCAATCTGCGACATTACTGGTTTATTGAAGCGATGTCAGATTTACGTGACAAGGGGTAGGGTCGTCTGTCCAACCTCGTGGGTTTTCTCCGGGTCCTCCGGTTCCCCCCCCCCCACTGCTAAAGACCCCTACGCGCAAGCGAATTATTGAAATAAAATTAAACAATATGTTAGTCCCGAAATGACCTAGTTTGCGTCGAGTGGACGTTAAACCCCATTTCTCTCTCTCTCTCTCTTTACTGAAGCGGTGTCAGATTTACGCAAGATAACAGACAAATAATATACCTCATGTGTCGATGTGCTAAATACCTGAGCCGTACAGACAAACCTTTTAGCTGATACAGAAATAATAGAGCATGAAATAGACATTGTAACTATTGTTAATATTCAACTTACTGATAGTGTTCGGATATTCGAACAAGAATACTATTCGAATATTCGACGGGTCTTGAAATTTGTATTCGAATAGTATTCGAATATTTTCAATTTTTTAATATAGATATATTTAAAGTGGTTTATATTCAATTTATTGTGATTTCTATTAATTATTTAATACGTGAAATTTCTGTTGACATGTGACAATGCACAAGATTATATTTTGGCAATTGCCAGTGGATCTTTTACGTAAACTGCCAATTTGTACACAAGACCTCGGCCTTCCATGACATCGCAACAAGTAGACGCGGACCTCAACCATACTCCAGTCACCTGCCATCTCCGCCAGATGCTCTTTTAGTTTATCCGAGGTATGTGAACCTGGACATGATTTCACTTCCAGAGTCTTAGCCACCATCTCCCAATCTGGTGATACAAAATGAGCGGTTAAATTAATGCAAGACTCATTTTGTTCATCTGATGTCCATACATCTGTGGTCACAGCGGTTAACTTCGGACTTGGGTCATTCTTGATTTGACGGTCGTCGGAATGAACGGCATCATAGATTTCTTCCATTCTTTTTTTGAGTGTTTTACTCGACGGCAAATTGTGTGATGGATTCAGGGCTTAATTCTACCAATTCCCGAAAATGGTCATTGTCAATAAGAGAGAGGGGCTGATAATGCTTGGCTACAAACTTGATCAATTTCTCAGTGATGTTTTTTTTTGCTGCGCTGAATCTTGTTATACTTCTTGCTGTTGCATGGAGAACTTTGTGTAAAACTTTTTAATTGGCTGAATCTTGCCTGACCGCACGTCCCTTGCAGAGGAAGTATCTGGAGCTACGTATATGTTTCAACTTCATGTGGTTCCAAAGATTAGCCTTGATGTGATATTAGTCAAGACCATGGAGTTGTATATATTGTCAATATATACACCTCTATGGTCAAGACAGCCAACTCCATCGTGGCACTAACTGGCTAACCAAAATAGGTAACAAGCTACTTACCGAATAACTGTCTCTGAAGATCTGTGTAGGGGTAGCACCCTTACAAGCTGCGGTTAGGTAATCTAAGTAAGCTTTGAATGTAAATGTGGCAAGGGAAGTCGCCTTTAATAATATTTGAGTGCAAATAGAATAAATAATAGATATTCGAAAATATTCGAATATCGTTATTGCTATTCGAATATTCGAATATTATATTCGACGAGCGAATATTCGAATATTCGTGCCGAACACTACTTACTGATCCATATCGTATAAATTCTTGTATTAAACTTTAATTTATGTATATTAAATAGTGACATATAACTTATATTATAAGTCTAGCTGTATCGGGTTACCCGAGAATACTCATCGGAATTTTCCGGTGTGGTTTACCCTTGTCAGTGGTGCATGGTGCAGGACGGAGGGTCTGGCAAGTGACAACTTATAATCGTTCCCATGGGACGAAAGACCGAGTTCCCGTGTACACAGACGATAGTTTAAAATCGATATATATATAATAGTAGGCCATAGTGTCTCTGGCTGGGCAAAATGTCCGTCATAGCACACTGTATGGCGTGTATCCGTCTTCATTATCCCAGTTGGAGCGGAACAGTAGGACGTCAAGCCCCATTTCATTTCATTGTGTTATGATAGGTTCCCACTCACTCGGCAAACCTCGGCAGATTCCGGTACCCTACAACTGTAGATGTAGGGAACTGGAATCTGCTGAGGTTTGTCGAGTGTGTTCCCACTAACGTGCGATGCGTTGCGATGGGATTATCCCTATAATCGTAGAGCGAATCGTGATAGTGGGAATCTAGCATAAAACATGTGTCTCTCATGCCCCCGTCAGATCGTGGTGGCGTTCTTACTGCGCGCTGCTGCGACTGTACGGCGATCAGAAAATGCACAAGGTCGCCAGCAAACGTGAACACAACGCGAGAAAATATCCTCAAATATTAAAAACTTGAAAAAAGTCGTGTTCTTACAGCTTTCCAGGTCAGATCGCAGAACCTTGGCGTTTGTTTTGAACATGCTCAAAAAAAAAAAAAACCCGCCGTGACTCGTCGATCATTGGCGACCATGGAGACCACAGGACGATATTTGGCGTTTTAGCCACGCTTTTACAACGCTTGTGGCGATCTAGACGCGTTCTGGGACCATTTTCCGTCGCCGTATAGCAGCGCTGTAAGAAAGCCACTCCGGTCTGACAGGAGTATAAGATAAACAACTTTCCTGGTAATATTACTATCAACACAAATAGTTTTATATTGTCAACCCAGATAAATCCACACTGATTTTCAAAGAAAGGTGTGATTAACAGATTAGTTAAGCCCTAATAATACTCTTTTAAGTTAGTTCTGATTATGTAATATGTGTCGAACTTTGATCCTGATCATTTTCTATTTATTGTTTTATTATTAATTTCTGACTTACATGTAGAATTTCTGACTTACATGTAGAATTTATGCAAGTTGTATTTTGATGATGAGCTATAGTATTACTCGATAGCACGATTTAAACTATCAAAATCTGCCCAAATCCACAATTATTTCAACTCATATCACAATAATTTATATCGATATTTGATAATACACCATTTTTTTAAGCTAAATTTTCATTTTTAATTTAAAATCGCAGCGTTTTTGTGTTTAAATGCCTCTAAAATTGCGATTTCCAGAAATGTTTGGTCGAATTTTGATACAAGAATTAAAGACTGCGATTTTAAGGTAGACATTTAGCTAAGGGTCGTTATTATGATGGTACATTGAAATGAATTGAAACGGGGTTTAACGTCCTACTGTTCTGCTTTGAACTGGGCTAATGAAGACGGGCATACGTCATGCAGGACTGTGAAGGAAAATTTGCCGGAAGGGATCTTTTACCTGCACGCCAATGAGTACACGAGATCTCGGTTTTTCGTCCCAACCGAACGACTGACTGACAAAGGGGAACCACGCCGGAAAATCTGGTTGAACTTTCTCTGCCAATGCAGGGATGGAACACCCGACCTCCAGGCTAGCTAGCCAGCGTCTTACCCACTTAGTCACCGTGACTCCCTGTTGGTAGGCCTACATTAAAAGAACGATATAAATGATTATGATATATGTGGAGTTAATAGTGGAAATAATGGTGGTTAGGGTAGATTTGCGTATTTACTAGGCCTACTTCCAAACTTTCAGCGCCATAAAACGCTACATTAAATTTAAAATAACAATTTGGCATTTTCAAATATCGATATAAAATTATTGTGATATGAGTTGATATATAATGGAGGCAGGTGTGGGTGGAATTGGGTAAATCGCGCTACTCGCTATTTTTTAATTTTTAAAAAAATTGTTTTATAATTTAATTTGCAGAAGAAAAATAAAGTTAATACTCCCCGATGTAACCCCTCTTAGAGGTAGTAGCGGCTATATAAGCGAATATTTACTGAATGGGTTTGATATATATATCTCATATCTGTTATCTGCGATATCACTTCAGTGGAAGCGGACGATAAAAAAAGGCCATTTAACACAGTTACTACTAATCTTAAGGCGATTAAAAACAATGAGATCGCCAGCTGTTCATTGGCAACCATTGAATTTGTGTGGACACAAGATTAGGAAAACTATTGCGTATTAAATGGCTTTGATCTATATAGGAGTTACCCGACCTTTCAACTTTGACCTGCTATCACATGACTTGCACACAATGTTGACATCTGAGCATTAGTGTGTGGGTATAGCGGAATGGCGTCGATACCGTTAGGTATTCGTCTTCTACCAACGGTTAATGGCGAAAAAAGAAACATATCGTGAGTATATTTAACGCTTTTATAACTGGAAAACATTTCAGTGTAGTAATTTGTAAGATTTTGAATCCTGAATAGTTGTATTTAGGACTAGGAGGTGATATTATTAAAGATAACATAATCAAGTTTGAAAGAAAAGCTATTTATTTAGTGATCCGACCAGTGGCTCGGGTCTGTCATACGTATTAAAGTCGACGGTATGCTGTTGGTCTATTCCAGGTTTTACTACTGTTTTATGGAACCAGTACGCAATTCACAGGGGGTAAATTTTGGCTTGAGTAGGCTACAAGATTCTGAATTGATACGATTGACGGGGTTCATAACTTTATCGACTTTTGCTGCTTGTCTTTAGTTTAAAGGAGCTATGTCGCTAATATTTGGGAGCTAGAAAATGACACAAATGGGTTGCAACGCATAATGAATGTATATATCTCATTAACATTCAATCGTTTCTGTTTTTACTGTAATTTCTAATCAGTTAGGTTCGGCGACATACGCCAGTATTCTTAATCGAATTTCAATCTCTATCGCCTGGTTATTCCAATCTACGCCGATAGTATTTATTGGGCATGCTCTCCAGATAAATATAGCGTCATCGTTTCACATGACTTGTGGAATATGCCTAGCCTCGTTTTTTCGTGTCCCTTATTACAAATAGTGCTGAAATGCATTATGGTACACGATTAGCGTACCAATTGTAAAATGTTTATTTTGTCTTAAATATTGGATATCAGAAGGCTATCTTTTCCCGGTAAGATCACAACATCAATGTTGATTTAAACCGACAAATAAATCGTGTTTTCAATGTCAAAGATTTTGGACTATACTTGAGTTAGAGACTTAGCTACTTTAAAACAGATTGGCTCGGATTATTTGTACCGTATTTAATAGAAGTTTGAAACTCATGTTCGAATATACCTCAGAATCAAATCTATTTTTTAAAATGTTCCGATTTGTTTTTCTTTTATTATTTCAGCCCCCATTCCCCCATTAATAACTTGCCCCCCACCCGCACACCCCAGCCCCCCTGCAAGGTTAATCTGACGTGACCCTGTGCAGAGCCCCAATAAAGTCAATTACATGCATTATGAGATTGAAAGTTTTCATATGCCAGTAGTTGGTCTCCACTTTCATCAAGAAATGAAATGTGTAGGCCTTCCTGTTTGATCATAGGCCTTTTTGGATCCTTAATATTGAGTTTGTCCTTCGACTTCCTTTGTGTTCAACCCTTTTCTGGCCATAATGTTTGCTTATCCATGACAGAAGCCTTGTAAAGAGGTATCAAAACTCAAGGCCCGTCAAGTTAATGGTGGTCCTGGGTTTGAACAAATAATAAATTGAATTTGGTTATAAAAATGTGTAAGATTGACAGATTTATTTCACTTTACTGACTGAAAAGTTATTGTTTTAATTATGGACTAGAGAATAACCTACATGTAGGCCTATCTTCAAAGCACTCTGAAACCTTCTTGAAAAATGCTTAATTTTGATGATTAATCATGGACACTGTGCCGTATCATATAAATTCTTTGATTTGATGATTTTTGGGAAAATCAAAAAGAATAGACATTTTTTTTTCGAAAATGATTCAGAAATTGTTCAAAATAAGAGAATCTTTGTTCAGTTTACTATTAAACAGATATACTGAAGTGAAGTTGACTAGAAATAGAGAAACAGTTCAAAACCTTACCCATTCTCCGGGAGAAGATTCTTTGGCTAAAGGTTAAAAAGAGCTAAGGCTTTAACTTAATATTTTCCATAATATTTGAAATTAAAAACTCAGATTACAAGTCAATATTGGTCCATTTCAATCAATATTGATGTTGTTATCTTGCTGTGAAAATTTGTAATCAGTACCATACACAAAGAAAAACATATCCTACAAGACCGTGCAGAAATAATTATTTATGATAATAAAAATACGTGTGGAATGGACTAAGCAGGCGTAGACAACATGATCAATTTTATATATTGATTTGTTTTGGGAGATAATATATCTTCGTTGGAAATTTGAAAAAGATATGTCGTGTATAATTCCTACAACATAGTTAATGATCAAGGTGCATTTAGCGAAGCTTCACTTATCACAAGATAAAATTAAATGTTAATAAGCCGTTGAAAAAAGATGAGTCTTTAAAACAGCCAAGAGATTGTGTATTTTTTTATGGTCAAGGGGAATGAATTCCATAGGTTTGATACACTGAATAAAGGGAATCTCCAATCCGATTAAAACACAGATCCTATTTTGTTTCGATTTTTATAGTTCAAAATTTTGTTTTACTTGTCTTTACTACGCTAGCATCTTGAAGAGTTGTTATATAACCCACATTCTGGATGATGTGAGGGATTGGCCAATGAGACGGTCTGTTACAGCGAGTATTTGGCGTGAAGTGCACGGAACTGTGGGTAACCCACTAGAAACATCAATGCTGTCTGACGTCATAGGATGAAAAGCCGCCCGTATGACCCCTGACTTGACCTTCCACTACAACTGGTCAAATCTTCATGTAATAGAGGCCATTGAAAGTATAAAAAAACGAAACAAAATATAGATCTGTATTTTGATCAGATTGGAAAATTTCGTAGATTAAGGAAGTCAATTAAGACAGATAAAAACAATTCAGTTATAAACTAGGTTCGTCACTAAACAGTAATCAATTCCGTCTGTTAGATAAGTTATATCCTGGGGAATTTCAAATATTATTTACAATATCTTGATGTTCAATTGGACTTATTTCTAGATGGACTTGAGTAGGATATGTTTAGCATATACCAGTGATACGGCGTGCTAGATGTATCAGAAGCAGGGAGGTTGGGTGGCAGAATGGTTGGCATGTGAGCATTGTATCTGATGTCTTTCATTGAGTCAACTGGCTTGGTTTCAATTCCCCAGTTGTACGTGACAAGATGTTGGGTTGCCTCTCCAACCTCGTGGGTTTTCTCTGGGTACTCCAATTTCCTCCCACTGCTAAAGACCCCTATGCACAAGTGAATTATTTAAGCCTATATAGTTGAGGACCACAAAACATACATGTAGTTCATGATGAAACACAAGTAACAAGCATTGAGAACAGGTAGTCTAGCTGGTGCTTCACCTCTCTGGCATTTGAAAGTTATGCACAGAAGTTAGAACTAAATTCTGCTTTCCACTGGAGAGAAATTGTGGCTGTCTAGTTGTGCGGATGGCATGAAAAGCCAAGTTCCTTTGTACACATTGGCGTGCATGTAAAAGAATCAATTACAGTTGGTCAGTTGGAATTCGAAACAAGAGTAGGCCTCTGTCCGGGGAAAGAACACTGTATGATGTACATGTATGCCTGATTTCATCAGCCCAGTTAGTGCAGAAAAGTAGGATATTTAACTTTTATTTCATTTCACCAACTAACCAAAATAAAACATCCCCATCAATCACTAATCGTGAGAACACAATCTATATCAAATTAAATTAGATTCAAATCGTGAAAGAAGAAAAATAAAAGAGTTGACTTGATTTTGATACTGTGATTAATCAGATGGGTAGTATTATTTCCTACCATAGTAGACAAGGAGTAGGGTCGTCTGTCCAACCTCGTGGGTTTTCTCTGGGTCCTCCGGTCTTCCCCCACTACTAAAGACCCCTACGCACAAGCGAATTATTGAAATAAAATTGAACCATATGTTGGTCCTGAAATGACCTAGTTTGTGTCAAGTGGGCGTTAAACTCTCTCTCTCTCTCTCTCACTTTTTTTCCTACCACAGTAGTATTTATAAATGTATATATATAAAATTACATAGAAAATACATGTCAAATTTTACATCAATGTGGTAGGAAAGTCTTGCCACCCCCTTGTATACATGCGACCCAGGTTTTTTGTCTCATCCTGTCAACTAGATGTATTTCCTTACTGTACACAAAGATTAAAATTAAAACAAAGAGTCAAGGATTTGAATTTTTAAAAAGTACATGTACATATAAAGAATAATATTAATTCTATTCAGTTGATAAAACATTATGAAACTGTGTGATATGATATCTCCATTATCAATTAACATGTGTCCTTCTTGATATAAATATGTTACATATCGGTACATACATATGAATTATTGGAATATATATAAACCTATATCTAATCTCTTACCTTAAATGTTATATATTACACTTTACTTTCAATTAATACTAACTGATATATACCCAGCTGGGGTGACCCAGTATTTTATAGAAATAGAAACAGGGCGGTCAAGAGAGGGTGGTCCAATATTTTATAGAAATAGAAACAGGGATGAAGAACTGGGTGTGCTCCGACAACCTGCCACGCCTGAAACACAGTTTTGAAAAGGGAGGTTTGAAATCTGATGGTTTAACCTCCACTCAACACAAACTAGGTCATTTCGGGAATAACACATGTTTCAATTTTTGTTTCAATAATTTGCTTGTCCGTAGGGATCTTTAACAGTGGGAGAAAACCGGAGGACCCTGAGAAAACCCACGAAGTTGGACAGGCGACCCTACTTCTTGTCAGTTCACTCAATGACAGACCTTACGATTCAACGCGCAGCGGCACATGCTAACCATTCTTGGTCTTTAGTAGTGGGAGAAAACCGAAGAACTTGGAGAAAACCCACCAGGTTGGACTAGTGCCCCTACTCCTTGTCACGTACACGTGTAGGATGAAAACTGCAGCACCTGATTCAATAACAGACCTTATGATCTCAAGCTATTTATTAAATAACCTGTACGTGTTATTATATTAGTTTATGTATACATGTAATACATGTAGATATAAAAGTTGGAAGTTTTACTCTGTAACAGATGGTAACCAATATACATGTATATTGTCATTTATAATATATGGTTGACTGATTGGCGTTCAACAACTTATAGTCAATATAAAATATAATAATTATTGGTCTATTAATGATGGTATTTTTATTTTTCACTCACCACAACATGTAATAAGCTATGGGTAATATCTATTTATATATTTCACTCACCACAACATGTAATTCCATGTATTTATTAGCTACGGGTAATATCTACTTTTATAGTAGTGGTGAGACCCAGGCTAGTTGATTGGTCAAGGTTTTCAATCCAAGTTAGATTGTGATGAATTGTGTGGATTTTTCAAGTTCAGTCTTCACGTTATTGATGGCAGAGCATGCTTGAACATTCTGTGTAGTCGTTTAAATAGAGAAACAAGCATTGTCTACCCATGTACATTATGACTTTACGTTCATGACAGTTGATGTCAAAAACAGCTGATATCACTCATAGAACACCTGAGACACTTGTAGAACACCTGAGACACTTGTAGAACATGTGATATCATTTGTAGAACATATGATACCACTTCTAGAACAACTGATACCACTTCTAGAACATATGATATCACTTCTAGAACATATGATATCACTTCTAGAACATCTGATACAACTTCTAGAACATATGATACAAGTTCTTGAACAACTGACATCACTTCTAGAGTATATCATACCACTTCTAGAACATGATACAACTTCTATAACATCTGATACCATTTCTAGAACACTTGATACTAATCCACTATGTTCCACTTTTACCTGATTGTAAACATGTTGGGGGGATCACGGTGGCTAAGTGGGTAAGGCGCTGGCTCGCTAGCCTGGAGGTCGGGTGTTCGATCCCTGCATTGGCCGAGAAAGTTCATCCCGATTTTCCGGCGTGGTTCCCCCTTGTCAGGGATGCAGGACCGAGGGCCTGACAAAGACAGCTGTCTAGTCATTCGGATGAGACGAAAAACCGAGGTCCTGTGTACACATTGGCGTGCACGTAAAAGATCCCTTGACAATTGGAATTCGATATAAGAGTAGGCCGTAGTGCCGCTGTCCGGGCAAAATTTCCCTCATAGCACACTGTATGGCGTATGCCCATCTTCATTAGCCCAGTTCGGAGCAAAAAAGTAGGACGTTAAACCCCATTTCATTTCATTTTTGTAAACATGTTGTCATGATCCAGAAACAAATGCAACTTTAACGTCTTGCAGACAAATTTGTTCGAAATAATCAAGTTGGTCATTATTGATTGAAAGCCGAACTCCGATTACAAAACTCAGATTATTTAGGATGTTAATTTTTTTATATGATTATTTCTGTAGTTTTGTAATCGGAGTTCAGCTTTAAGTTGTTTATTCCATGTAAACTATGGAGGTTTGATGTATAATTATATTATTGTATAATTATATTATTGTATAATTATATTATTTGATTGTATAACTTTATTATATATTTGTATTATATTATTGTATAATTTCAGATATAGAATATTTATCTTGATCTTCACGTTTTTATGTTACGCCAGTTATCATTTATCTCGTAAACCAATTAGTGTTGTCAAGGTAACTAATTTATTATCTAATTAATATTGGTCAAGGTAACTGATTTATTATCTCTAATCTAATGTTGTCAAGGTAAATAGTTTATTATCTAACAAGGAAAATGGAGGGGGAAAGAGAGAGAAATGGAGTTTTTTGTCCACTCGACACAAACTAGGTTATTTCAGGATTAACATATTTCAATTTTATTTCAATAATTCGTTTGCGCTTAGGGTCTTTAGCAGTGGGAGGAAACATGAGGACCCGAAGAAAACCCACGAGGTTGGACAGACGACCCAACCCATTACCATTCAGCCACCCAACCCCCCCTAGAAAATGGAAATGAAATGAAATGGGGTTTAACGTCCTACTTTTATGCTCCGGACAGGGCTAATGAAGACCGGCATACGCCATACAGTGTGCTATGATGGAAATTTTGCCCGGACAGCAGCATTATGGCCTGCTCTTATATCGTATTTCAACCGTGCATGCCAATGTGTACACAGGACCTCGGTTTTTCGTCCCATCCGAATGACTAGACAGCCGTCCTTGTCAGGCCCTTCATCCTGAATCACTGACAAGGGGGGGGGGAACCAGGCCGGAAAATCTGAATGAACTATTATGAAGAATAAACCACTTCTTCTTTCTACATAAGAACAGTAGGACGTTAAACCCCATTTTATTTCATTTCTTTCTACATAAAATTTGTTTGTACTAATGTTGTGTGGGGATTTTTATATAGATTGAAAACTGGCCACTCAAATCAGGGGCAGGGAGCCACGGTGGTTAAGTGTGTAAGACACTGGCTCAATAGCCCAGAGGTTCAATCTTGCTGTTGGCTGAGAAAATTCATTGGGATTATCCAGCATGGTTTCCCCATGTCAGTGGTGCAGAACGAGAGGTCTGACAAGAAAAGCTGTCTAGTTGTTTGGATGGTACGGAAAAGTGAGATTCCGTGTTCACATGGCGTGCATTTTAAAGATAGCTTGGCAGTTGGAATTCGATATAAGAGTAGGCCATACCGCCACTGTCCAGGCAAAATGTCCTTTATAGTACACTGTATGGCGGAAGCCCGTCTCAATTAGCCCAGTCGGAGCAGAACAGTGGGACGTTAAACCTCATTTCATTTGCTATAGGGGTCACAGCCAGAAAGGGTTAAATCTAATGTTGAATTGTTTTTGTTGTATTTTATAACAGAGTGTTCTACATCGTAATTGTTCTAACGTTGATCATCATGGTCGTGTTATACCGGTTACACCCAACTCAACATGGTGTGACTGGGCTCCATTTGGTAAGTATATCTATCATCTCAACTAATCTTACTATAGTTGGTTAGCTAGCAAGTCATGGTAAATTATTAACATGTAGTCCTTCTAGTTAGCTAGTTGGTTAGCTAACGAGTCATGATAAATTATTAACATGTAGTCCTTCTGGTTAGTTAACTTAGCTACAGTAAATTATTAGCATATTGTCCTTCTGGTTAGCTAACTTAGCTATAGTAAATTATTAGTTATTAGCATATGGTCCGTCTGGTTAGCTATAGTAAATTATTAGCATATTGTCCTTCTGGTTAGCTAACTTAGCTATAGTAAATTATTAGTTATTAGCATATGGTCCGTCTGGTTAGCTATAGTAAATTATCAACATATTGTCCTTCTCTTTGATTAGCTAGTTCTTTGATTAGCTAGCTGAGTCTGGCACAACCGGTGAACACATGGCATGCATTTTAAAGATCGCTTGACAGTTGGAACTCGATATAAGAGTAGGCCATCGTGCCGCTGTCCGTGCAAAATTTCCCTAATAGCACACTGTAATAATATTATTATTATTAGGGTTTCACACTGCGTAGCTTGTGTGAAACACTATTGTTTTTGTTAAAATTATTATTCTTATTATTATTATTCTTCTTTTGTTTTGAGTAGATCTCAGCAATTGATTGTCGGATCGTTACGATTTCTTCGGTTTTATCGGAAAAGTGGGTGTGACTTAGAGGATAAAGCTATTTTGAACGTTCTGCGACAATGCGAAATGTCCGAAATCACCGAAGCTATCGTTTTTAGAAATATTGCAGTAATTTTAACAATAATCATTGGATTTTAACTTTGGATGCATTTTGGCATAGCCGGAGACGGGGCACATAGCTACGCTACTTTTGATTTATAATTTTCGGCAAATCTTCGCAGATATTAGGCGCTAAATTTAGAAAATTTAAATTTTTACAAAAAACTTTTTTATTTATGAATATTTTTTGGTCGTGTTTTACACAAATATAACGAGTCCTCTGACTTGGGCAAAAATGTGAAAAAATTTTGTCTCGGTAATTTTCCTTGGCCCCCATTGGCTAATTCAGTTTTTCAGTCCTAGATTAATTATTTATTGTTCGATTTGTATAAAACAAAGTTCATATGCTCCGTTGTCTCAATTGCCATTTTTTTTGTTACCAATAGTGTTATCTGTCGGCACCGGAAGTGGCGTAAATTGACAAAAAACTACAATTTTGACAGTTAGGTACCATTTTTCGAAAGCAAATTTTTTTTTTTTCAAATCTGGTATAACTGAAATTGTGCGCTCTTTAAAGGCGCACAAAATGTTGGGACCAGTTTTTTTAATTTCGATTCCGTTTTCGGGCTATTTCGATTAAAAGGTGAAAAAAGGTGTAAAATTAAGCTATTTACAACCCATCCAGCGTTTTCATATTTTAAAATATTACTTCGTAACTTTCATAAACTCGTAGCAATAATCTATACGGAGAGAATGTATGTGAAAATTAATTTGTAATATGCGCAGTTGCCGAGAAATGGGCAATTTTGCATGAGTCACTTTTTACGCTAGTTTGCCTGTAAAAGAGTCAATTATTATTCGATTTTCATAAAAGTGACACCATTTGATGTGTAATGTCAATTTTAACTAGGTCAAACCAATTTAACATTTTCAATATCACCGGAAATGACGTAATTTGGGCAAAAATTGTATTTATAGCCTTCGAAACCAGTAATTTATTCAAATGAGTCATATTTGTTATTTGTTTAAAATTGTGATATTTGATTCAAATCAACTAATACAATGAACCCTTACGATCATATAGATATCACAAAATGGTTTCTAACTTGTTCAGTTGCGGAGAAATAGGCAATTTTCAACAGGTCACTTTTTAAGGTTTTTTGTCAATAAAAGTGTCAATTATTATTCGATTTTCATGAAATTTTCACTGTGTGATACATAATGCCATTTACGATTTCATACAAGTAATTTAAGATTTTCATTATCACCTGAAGTAACGTCATTTTGGCAAAAACTGTATTTTTAGCCTTCAAAACAGATATTTTATTCAAATGAATCAGATTTGTAATGTTTTTAAAATTATGATATTTGATTCCAATCAACAAATAGAATGAACTCATTCGATCATACAGATACCTCAAAATGGTTTCTAACTTGTACGGTTGCAGAGAAATAGGCGATTTTCTACAAGTCATTTTTCAAGGTTTTTGGTCTATAAAGGTGGCAATTATTATAGGATTTACATAAAATTTTCACCATGTGATGATGCTATTTCTGATTTCATAAACCAATTTAACATTTTCATTATCACCGGAAGTAATGTAATTTTGACAGGATCACTGACATGTAGCAAATGAATTGATTGCTGGATTTGGTTGTTTCTGCGTCCATTTTATTTCATGTGTGCAATGCTTATGTGGAAACCTGTTTAACGCATTGTGTGATACCTAATGCCATTTACGATTTCATACAAGTAATTTAAGATTTTCATTATCACCGGAAGTAACGTCATTTTGGCAAAAACTGTATTTTTAGCCTTCAAAACAGATATTTTATTCAAATGAATCAGATTTGTAATGTTTTTAAAATTATGATATTTGATTCCAATCAACAAATAGAATGAACTCATTCGATCATACAGATACCTCAAAATGGTTTCTAACTTGTACGGTTGCAGAGAAATAGGCGATTTTCTACAAGTCATTTTTCAAGGTTTTTGGTCTATAAAGGTGGCAACTATTATAGGATTTACATAAAATTTTCACCATGTGATGATGCTATTTCTGATTTCATAAACCAATTTAACATTTTCATTATCACCGGAAGTAATGTAATTTTGGTACCGGAAGTGACATAAGTTCAAGGGTAACGTGGCACCGGTGAAACCCGTCATTACTGCTTCGCAGTTCTAGTTTTTATTATTATTACAGATGGAGATAACTCTAACTCATTGTTAGGGTATCTGGACGTGGCTTTTCTCTTCGCTTATGCTGTTGGAATGTTCTTCAGGTGAGTATTATTTTAATCATGCGCTTTGAAGGCTCATTTAGGAATCCCTATATTATGAAATAGGAATAGTCCAAAACTGGTTCATTTCATTTGAGTTGTTACAAAATTATGATCAATTGAAATTTCATTGATGTTTGTTGCTCAAGGGTAACAAGACTCCGCCATCTTTTATTGGTAGTGGAGAAACCTGATGGACCTAGTTTATATGAGATTTAATCCAAGACGGGAAATTATCTAGCATTGGTATTTTGATTTTGTTTTCTTAAACATACATTATGCAAGAGCTAGATCTGCTTATTGCAGGTCTTTCTTTAGGCCTAAAATTGTATATAAACTATTAATTAAACATTTATTAACATGAAAAGACCTTAATCAATCTTGATGCCATCTTTTTTTTCTGATTTTCACTGGATTTAAATCCGATCTGCTGCTCAACGCAGACAATGTTTTTTATCATACCGACTTTAGTAATGATGATTGAGGCTTGGCCGAAATTTTCAGCAAATTCCCTTTACATTATCTAGTTTTTAACTGCCAGCTCTTTATCTAATCTCCATAATGTATCTTTAACGTAATGTTGAATAATCAATACATATTTAGTCGATATTTTAGTGAAAATGAGGCATGAAATCTTTAAAGAACTGTAAGAAGTGAGAATGAGGGTTGTGATAACTATGTTTCGGTTTATCAGACTCGTCTAAGATTATCATTGATGCGTATCAGGGTTGTGTACTTAATAAACCCCATAGGCGTACAGGCTCAATGACAGTTAGTGGGGCAGAACCCGAAATTTCTGGTTTACAGACAGTGACGCCGGTCATATGCAAGAGGCGGAGAAGCGGAAGCTTACCGTGTATGGCCCCCCCAACCCCCAAGAAAATTTCTGAGCGCGTTTTCCTGCTATTCCAGCCCGTGAACAAAGTAACTTCAAAGTGGTCTAATATAACCTAATTAAGGTGACTGACTCGAATTCCAATCAATCATTTACAGTCCACGAAGATGGGGCAATTGGGAGAATATTTAAAAATTTAACTGCTGCAAACGCGTTTTCCTGCTATTCCAGCTTGTGAATACAACAACTTAAATGTGGTCCAATATAGCCAACCTGGCTGACCTGAATCCCAAACAACCAAACAATCGTAGCGGGGTATGGGGCCTCGCCCTGTTGGAGAAAATTTTGAAAATTTAACCGCCTCAAATGCATTTTTTGCTAATCCAGCCCTTGAGTTAAGCGACTCCAAAGTTGTCCAATGGTTTTGTAACCGAAATCCCACTCTATGCCGACTTGAATTCCACCCATCCAATCAGATTGTTGCAGCTGCATTCACAAATAATAATCGATGCCTGAAAAATGTCTCACAAAGTAGAGTGGCTCCAGACAAAATGATTTAATCCATAGTCAATTCAGTACAAATTTGTGGTATTCAATTAAAAGAAAAGTAAAATTAGTGTTGTATTAAATTTCGGGAACTTTATTTTGCCAAGTAGATGAAATAAAAAGATTCTTTTTCACTTTACCTGTCTGCCTGAAAAGTCAGATTGTTTGTACGCCTATGATAAAGCCTATATTACACCTGAAATGTTTATTGAGTTACTTCCCTTTAACTTGATTTTTTTATTTCAGTGGTCATATAGCAGAACGAATAAGTTTACGATATTTTTTATCGGCTGGTATGATCATTAGTGGTTTTCTCTGTGCTTTGTTCGGTTTGGGATATTTTTGGAATATTCATTCTCTAGCATTTTTCGTCGTAGTACAGGTAAGCAGAATTTATTTATTATATTAACCAACTTTGGTATTAGAAATTGCTATTTTAAAGTAAGAGCATGGTTTCCCCTTGTCAGTGATGCAGGACAGAGGGCCTGACAAGGACAGTTGTCTAATCATTTGGATGGTACGAAAAACCAAGGTCCCATGTACACATTGGCGTGCACGTAAAAGATCCCTTGACAGTTGGGATTCAATATAAGAGTAGGCCTTAGTACCGCTGTCCGGGCAAAATTTCCCTCATAGCACACTGTATGGTGGAAGCCCGTCTTAATTAGCCCAGCATCGGAGCAGAACAGTAGGATGTTAAACCCCATTTCATTTCATTTAAAGCAAGAATCAGTTTGAAATTAACTCTGGCATTGGGTTAAAGTTATGATCATAATCAGCCAAATATGTACCCTATGGGCTTTCAAATTATCAGAGGAGGGTCATTGATTAAAAGAATGCCTATACCACTAGATCCATTCATTTGAATTCCTAGTTCTCTACTAGACTAAGGGAGCCACAATGGATTTGTGAGAATGCTTCCTAGTTCTCTGGGCCATAGTGGATTCATGAGAATGCTTCCTAGTTCTCTAATAGACTAGGGCCACAGTGGAAATCGTGAGAATGATACCTAGTTCTCTAATAGACTACACTTAGGGAGCTACAGTGGATTTGTGAGAATGATTCCTAGTTCTCTAATAGACTAAGGGGGCCACAGTGGAAATTGTGAGAATGATTCCTAGTTCTCTAATAGACTACTAGGGGGGCACAGTGGATTCTTGGGAATGATTCCTAGTTCTCTAATAGACTAAGGGGCTGCAGTGGATTCGTGAGAATGATTCCTAGGTCTCTAATAGACTAAGGGGGCCACAGTGGAAATCGTGAGAATGATTCCTAGTTCTCTAATAGACTAAGGGAGCCACAGTGGATTCTTGACAATGATTCCTAGTTCTCTAATAGACTAAGGGGTCCATGGTGGAAATCCTGAGAAAGATTCCTAGTTCTCTAATAGACTAATGGGGCCACAGTGGAACTAAGAGAATGCTGCTGATTCACTACCAGATGGTCCCGTGTTTGATCTCGATGTTGGCAGTTCCTTGGGATTTTTCTGCCCGGTTTCCCCAGTTCCTTGGGATTTTTCTGCCCGGTTTCCCCTTGTCAGTTTTTCAGGACAGACGCGAGCTGTCAAGTAAAAATCAACACCCGTGTACTTGTTGACATGCACCCGAAAGAAAACTTGACAATTGGAAATTAGTAAAGAATAGGCAGAAATACTGCTCATCGGACAAGATTTTTCTTAATAGATGTTTGTACAGAAAGTAAAAACATTTAAAAATCCTGTTTCTCTTCATTTCATTTTAGGCTGCAGCAGGATTTTTCCAGTCAACTGGTTGGCCGGCTGTAGTTGCATGTGTTGGCAACTGGTATGGGAAAGGAAGGTAACTCTCATCTTTTTGATATTATTAGATCACAGTTCTTCAATTTACATATAATTAGCATATTATGAATATGTATATCAACTGTCTGTGTGATGTGTTTGTAACCTATTTATAGCTGTATTTTTTTGGTACAATGTTTTAAATATGGTTGGGTGTGGATACACTATGCTAATGAGATAGAGAGAGAAATGAGTTTTAACATCCACTCAACACAAACCAGGTCATTTTGGGACTAACATATGGTTCAATTTTATTTCAATAAATCGCTTGCATGTAGGGTTTTTTAGCAGTGGGAGGAAACTGACAATGCAGAGAAAACCCACGAGGTTGGACAGGCGACCCCACTCCATGTCACATACAACTGAGGAATCAAAACCATGCCAGTTGGCTCAATGACAGACCTTATGATACAACGCGTATGCACTAACCATTCGGCCATCCACCCAGCCCTTCGGCTGATGAGACACATTTGTACAATAGATAATGACGTCTGCACAGAGAATTGTGTCTTGATGACAAATAGATAGAATTATAATCTGATTATTTTTAATGGCAGGGTGTTATTGACAGCCACAATAAAACCCCTGTCTAAAGAACGACTGTTTTATTTTCAGACGAGGTTTAATTATGGGAATATGGAACTCACATACATCTGTCGGTAATATACTTGGTTCTATTATACCAGGCATTTTCGTTAGTTATGCCTGGGGCTGGTCGTTCATTGTTCCTGGTTTGATTATAGGAGGACTGGGTGTTCTAGTCTTCTTTTTCCTGGTTCCACGTAAGTATTTTTTATCACAAGTAATAATGAACATTTGTGTTACATTTATAGCATGGCTTTCATGAGTTGACATGTTTACCCACACAGGCCTTAGGTTAAGGTTTTAAACCTGTTAACGAATGAAGCGTGCTATAAATGACTTGTATCATTGACACCTGTTCAACATGCTCGTTCTTATTGCACAGAAAACCCACCCCACTTCTCCATATGATTTCTACTAAAACTAGTGTAAACCAGCAAAAGTGTGCAATAATATTGAAAATGTCTAGTTATTTCACAGTTAAGCTCTAGCCAGTCTACGAGAGGGGAAACAATTTGTTATGCAACGAAATGAACAAAGGATGATTTCCCGTCCATGTTACAAATATCGTTATTCCACAGGGTCTGTAAGGTCGTAGCACATGAACAAATTGCTGTTTTCTAGAATCCAATATACCGTATTATTCGGGGTTTAAGCAGATTTTTTTTTCTGTAGAGTTCGTCTACATTGACATACATGTGGATGAAGGCAAAAAATTGACTTCCAGAAAAAATATTTCTGAGAAATAGTTGCTCAACTGTCCGTTGGTTGACGTCGTCTGCTAAATAAGACTTGAATGGCAAAGTCAACCCACAAATTTTTTTCAACCATTCAAATTGTCTAGCCACTGCAAACTTTAAATGATTTGATCAATTTAAATAATTTTTGAAGGGTAAGTTTTACTTGTGTATATTTAACTGTTATTCTGGCGTGATGGAGTTATAATGTTATGTTTTTTTGCGTGTTTAGATCCTGCAGATGTTGGTTGTGAGTTGCCCAATCATCAAGGCACAGTAAGTATACATTGTTACATGGGAAATCTGTTTTTCACCCCATCCGAAGGACTAGAAACTATCCTTGCCAGGTCCTTTATCCTGAATCAATGACAAGGGTGGAAACCACAATGAAAAATAATGATGAACTTTTTTGGATCAGACTGGAATAGAACACCACTTGTACACGTTGGCTTGCATGTAATAGAACCCTTGACAGTTTGAATTCGGTGGAGAGTGGAGGAAATGCAGCTGTTAGGTCAAAATTATCCTCTCTGCCATAGCCCAAATAACCATAGAAACAAAAATAACCACATCTTAGTATCAAAATGACGAGTAGTTTGTTGACGAGCCGTAAACACGAAATTCATGTCCGTTTTTCAGGGTGTGACAGGTATAGGCACTGTCCGTTTTCCAGGGTGTGACAGGTATAGCCAATGTCAGAATTATAACCCTGGGGCTTACTCTCAAAAATTTAAACTCAAATGTTCTAGAATGCAGTCTTTTGATTGGCCATCATTTGTAGTAAGATTTTGAGTTCCAGCCAATGACAAAGCTATATCCTTAAAATATTTTGTGAATGAGACCCCAGGACTTTCAGTTTAAAAGATGTACTCACAGTATGTGGCAGAGTGTCAGCCAGCAGGCCAAAATACTGTGAGCTCTAAGTCCATTATCTGTCACATACAGTATGGGTCCTTATCGCCAATTAAAACTGACAATTTATGTTCAAATTGATCACTCATCTAGACAGATTGTGTTGCTTTCATCAACCTTAAAATCACTGATGCACCAAAGTTCCTTATATCTTTTTTTTAAAAGTCTATCAGTGTCACTCATCACTTTCATGCATAATTATTACCTTTTAGTCAAGCACGCAACACTATGCTGGTTTTTTTTTTTGAAAGATCAAATTTATTCACGTTAAATGAATAGGTGATCTTCAGGGAACAGGCAACATGCCTGTGTCAGGCTCCACTGTCCATATGTATTATTGTGAATGATATGGGACCATCTTTCGACCTCTCTGTTGATCATTCGAACTTAATTACACCCCTGGGGTCCCTACATCTCCTGTTGGGCTCTCGTTCAATCTGGTTAAAACACAGATCATATTTCGTTTTCTTTTTTATAGTTCAAAATTTCGTTTTACTTGTCTGTACTACAGTAGGATCTGGATGGCGCGTTCTGAATGGTGTGAGGAATTAGCCAATGAAACCATCTGTTATGGCGACTTCTTGGCGTGCGATGCACGGAGCTGTGGGTAAACTACTAGAAACGTCAAAGCTGATTGATTAATCAATGTCTGACGTCATAGGTTCAAAAGCCGTTCATACAACCTCGGACACAACCTTTTACTACAACTGGTTTGGGCCCTTATTCACGAAAACTTAAACTAAGATACAATCGAAATTTTAAGAAATACTGCAATTCGATTGGCTGACCAGTAAAATCAATTTGCATATATCCAATGAAGTTGCAGTATTTCTTAAATTTTGGTTGTAACTTAGTTTAAGTTTTTGTGAATAAGGGCCCAGATCTTCATGTAGTGTAGGCCATCGAGAGTATAAAAAACAAAACGAAATATAGATCTGTATTTTGATCAGATTGGTTATCATTAATCCTAATTATTATATTACAGGATTCTAAACCGACGAATATTAATCCATATCCTCGGAGTGCTGCAGATTTAAGCCAATTAGAAAGTGTTCAAACTTATGATGATGTAAAACAGGTATGTTGTATAGACTCATGTCTGATGTCGATAATTACTTCACATCAACTAATTCATAGCTAATTGAATTACCTGTAGTTGTATTCGAACCTGTATTAATACAGGGTATTCCAGTGTAAAAGTCAGAGAAGAAAACAATGGAAATGTAATAATATGTTAATGAGATTGATTTTCTCCTATCACTACAACTCAGGTATCGATCACGGTGGCTAAGTGGGTAAGACGCTGGCTCGCTAGCCTGGAGGTCGGATGTTCGATCCCGGCATTGGCCGAGAAAGTTCATCCAGAGTATATTATTTAATATGTTAAAAATTGTTCAGATTGGAATAAATCAAACTATTTTTTGTTAAATTCTCTTTTGTGGTTTAGAAGTTATTATTTTGGATTAAAATGTGTTTTATTATTTCTAGCGGGTTAGAAATTGTTATTATTCTATCAGGTATAGAATTGTTATTATTGTTCAAACTATATTCTATTAATTCTAGTCGGACTCTGACTTGCATGAACTTCAACCAAAGGTATTAAATAAATATCACAGGATATTTTGTACGATGGTTTATGGGTTTTATTCCTTGCAATTTCTTTAGTTAAATGCAATTGATTTCATCGTGTTATGGAACACATATTTTTAATCCAATTTTAGAAATATTTATTCTCTTCTGATGGCACTATAACACACAAACACAACATATAGGAATAATTTACTTAAGCACAGTTCAGTGACCTGAGTCTTTATTAAAAAAAATGAAACTATGACACTATAAATATAAAGAATGTGGGGACCCTTTGGGACTAAATCTTGTGAAATTGTATAGCCATTCTTTGCGAAAATTCTTTAAGTGTGAATCCCTTTCGATTTAAAATCGTTCAAATATTATCCAACGTGACATATCATTTATGTCTCAGTCAAGATCAGTCATGGATAGCTCAATTATTTGTATCGTAACATTTCTACTAGCATGTCAGCTTTCTAAATGATGTGAATGGCTTTTTTTCCAGAGTGTGTACGGCATGGGCTATTTCTGAATAGGATAATAGATGCCATTTAACTTGGGAGGGCTTGCTAAATTGAACAATAGTGTGATCATAATCCGTTATATAGACGATCAAATTTCGTTTTGGTGAGGTAAAAATAGTATTTACTCGGATTTGAGCTTACATATTTTTATAAGGTGTATATAAAAGGACCAGAATAGTTTTTTAGTTTATACGATGGTTGTGATCTATTTTAAATCAAAATCGTCTAAATTTGCTATTCAAATTCCGGAGAATTTTGACTCCAGTATAATGGTATAAATTTGTTGTTCAATTTATGGAGTATTGTGCACTCTGGTATAATGGCTGATGGCAGAACAGATGCTTTCTGATTCGCAGGTTATACTCGGGTAATGTTCCTTACATAAAATCTATCAGAGTCGTTTCTATAAGGTGTCAACTTCTCTCTAGGTAAAGTTTGACTCTGGGTTCGGTTTCTCGTTTGAGGTGACCGGAGTTAAGAAATTCTTAGCTGGTAAGTTTACTCCGCAGTGAGTGTAAGAAAATAAGAGATCTACTCGCCACTCATAGGTTTCTAATTTTATGTCCCAATAAAATAACTTGACCCTACATTTTAACTGGGTTTATGTTAAGTATGTAAAGGTAATTAATGTAGCACGATGCACTGTTCGGCAACCAAATCATGTCATACGTATGACGAATATTCTATTCTCTGCTACTTATTTTATTAGACTTGTCATCGTCTAGTATTGTCCCGGGTTGTATTTGATCTATTTCTTTCTTGGTGAGGACCCTTTAAATGTTCCTTTAAAATCACACACAGTACATCCATATTTTAATAATTCGCTGGCACACACAAGATTTTTCCAAACCCATAGTAAATCCATGAGGTTAGACAGGCTATCCTCCACCTTGTCACATGCAAGAATAAGATTAAAACTATGGCGAATTTAATCGAAGACGACAGACATTATAATATAGAGAGCATCCCTAGGCCTGGAAATAACGGTTTTAGATGCACCTGACAAAATGTCAGGCACTAATGAAATAGTACCTGACATTTTCAACTTAGTGCTGGACATGTATTAATAATATCAATAAAAAAGACAAATCAGTGCCGGACAAAATGACAGGCACAAGAGTTTTAGTGCCTGACAAAGCCTGAATGGTTAGCGTGCGCGCGCTGTATCATAAAGTCTGTCATTGAGTCGACTGGCGTGGTTTCGAATCCCCAGCTGTACGTGGCAAGGAGTAGGGTCGCCTGTCCAACCTCGTGGGTTTTCTCCGGGTCCTCCGGTTTCCTCCCACTACTAAAGACCCCTACGCGCAAGCAAATTATGTAAATAAAATTAAACCATATGTTAGTCCAGAAATGACCTAGTTTGTGTCAAGTGGACTTAAACCCCATCTGACATTGTCTGTTACAGCTGCCTTATTTCCAGGCTTAATTGCTGCATCTATTAGTCCACTCAGCACCCAACCCTATTTTGGAATATTCTGTTTTGTTAGTTTTTAAGAAATAGAATTCAGTATTTGTTAATTATTTATCTGTATTTATAAAACCATATTTAACATTGACTACGAAATCAGATGATCGTTTATTATTGTTTTTCAGTCTGTAACTGTAAAAATTCCACACTATCATATTATTATATATTTTTTACAGCCATTATTAGACAAGACGTCTTCCAGTGATCCCCTAGTACCAAGAAAAGATTTCGCTATTTCGTTTTTTAGAGCATTGCGTATACCGGTATGTATAATATCAAGTCTTTACCTTAAGACAGTATATATTGTTTAGAGCATTGCGTATACCGGTATGTATAATATCATTTGATGCTATTATATTACAAGTCTTTACCATAAAGTAGTATATATTGTTTACTCTGGATATATATGTTAATGATCTAATGCCCTTGCCTAAGAATTAATATAGTTTTAATTGATGTAATATAAGTTTTAATTGATTAATATAAGTTTGATTGAGGTAATATAGTTTTAATTGATGTAATATAAGTTTTAATATAAGTTTACTTGATTGATATAAGTTTTAATATAAGTTTTAATTGATGGTATAGAAGTTTAAGTAATATAAGTTTAATTGATGTACTATAAGTTTTAATGATTAATATAAGTTTATTTGATGTAATATAAGTTTAATATAAATTATATTTTTCAGGGTGTTATAGAGTTTTCGTTATGTTTATTTTTTGCCAAATTAGTTAGTTATACGTTTTTATTCTGGTTACCAAAATATATCGATAAAACTAGTAAGTATTGTGTATTTATATACAAATTCCAGGAATTATTTCAGCATCATAAAAACCCCAATCTCGTCTTGTTAAAGTGTACAATAAGCCTCTCCATTTTGACTGTATTTCCTAGTCTTAACCGACAGTGAAATAACCTGACTTATCAGTTAACTGACTTGAGAATTAGCTGACTTATCAATTAACTGACTTGAGAATTAGCTGACTCGTCAATTAACTGACTTGAGAATTAGCTGACTCATCAATAAACTGACTTGAGAATTAGCTGACTCGTCAATTACCTTTCAATCAATTTTCATACCTTGAAGCACACTACAGTTAAATTTATAGGATTTTCTTTATAGAAACACTTAGATATTAATATTTTAAATTGAGATAGCTCTTAAAATTAACAAGCCATACACCATACAGTAGTGTACTGTGAGAATTTTTCTAATTCCAACTGTGAAGGTTTTTTTTTACATGCAAGCCAATGTGTTCATGAAACATCATTTTTTCTTACAATCTGAACAACTACACATTGTCCCTTACCAAACCCTTCATCCTATACCACTGATAAGGGGAAATGGCCTTGGTAGATCCTGAAGAACATGCTTGGCCAACACTGGGAGCAAAACTAAAAAAAACAAGCTACTGGATATATTAGTATAAATTAATACCATAGTTGATTTCCTTAGCTAGGGGGTTGGATGGCTGAATGGTTAGCACCTGCACGCTGTATCATAAGGCCCGTCGTTGAGTCAACTGGCGTGGTTGCGATTCCCCGGTTGTAGGTCCGTCTGTCCAATCTTGTGTTTTTTCTCCGGTTCCTCCAGTTTCCTCGCACTGCTAAAGACCCTTACGCGCAAGTGAAATTATTGAAAAAAATTGAATCATATGTTAGTTCTGAAATGACCTAGTTTGTGTCAAGTGGACGTTAAACCCCATTAAACCTGAGTACGGTATATTTTATAGGTTATTATTATATTTTTTATTATTTTGAACAGCTCCAAGTTACGGTGCTGAGAAGTCTGCTGATTTATCGACGTTATTTGATGTTGGTGGTATAGCTGGAGGTATATTAGCAGGTGTTATATCAGATCATAGTGGAGCTAGAGCTACAACTTGTTTTATCATGTTAGCACTGGCAGCACCAATGGTAGGTTATCATATATTATATAACAACTTCAGGTACCATCAATAGTACGTTATCATATATTATATAACAACTGCAAACATTATTGTGGTTCTCAGGTACCATCCAGGGCCGTTAGCGGGGGTGCAGGGGGTACATTGCACCCCCAGAAAAATAAGCCGCCCCCACCCCATCCAAAAAAATAAAAATTATTTGACAATCTTTCAATTATAAAATAATAAATACACTTGATTATGATCACACAGTGATGCCCTTAAGGCACTGATCAGTCGATCGGTTTTAAGGGCGCCCACACGCCAATGGGTTCGTTTGCCCTGGTCAAAACTTTCTTATATCACATACCTGGAGGCTATGGCGCCCCAGAACTCTGCTGCACCCCCACTTTTAAAATCCTACATACGGCCCTGGTACCATCAATAGTAGGTTATCATATATTAAAAAACAAACGTTATTATGGTTCCTGACACTGTAATCTGGGTAATGAGTGTCCAATTTCAGATGTACGTGTATAATGTTTATCATGTTATATTTAAGATGTATGTGTATAATATTTATTATGTTAAATTTCAAATATATGTGTATAATGTTATATTTCAGATGTATGTGTATAATGTTATATTTCAGATGCATGTGTATAATGTTTATCATGTTATATTTTAGATGTATGTGTATAATGTTTATGGTAGTTTAACTTTTACTACAAATGTTGGTAAGTTATTATTCTATATAGTATATAACCTACAGTCTTCTCATTCAGTCGTCTCGTACAAAATCTCCTGTAATCTTATTCCATTTATTTAAATACTCGTGAAAAGATAAGGACCAATTGGTGTATCCCTGGTCATTTTATGTGACAGTATATTGTTGTCACCCCTGTCACAATTCATATAAAAGTCCACTTTTAAATGGAGGATAACGCTAGGTTCCCACTATCATGATTCATGCTAAGATTGAAATCATGGTTTTAATCGTGGAGTAATCGTGGTGATCCCATCATATATTGAGGTCAGTATCCATACGTATCTGCACATACCAGATCGTGGTCCCCAATAGGTACAATCCTATCATAATGCATTGCATGACGGTGAGAACCAGTAGAAGTTACTAAATACCGCTTGACTGGTTGTGAACATGGTGGCATAATCTTCAGTGTATTTCAAGATTTTTTTGGTATCTTGGACACCATACCATAGGAATCATAGATCGTGGGGCACATTATCATTGAAATTATGGATAATGATTTTTTATATTGTGGGGGTACCCTAACATAGGAATAATAGTTGCTGTCATTTATATTACATTGAGTTGTTTTATTAATTGACCGTTTTTATATTTACAGTTTTATTAATGAGTTGTGGTTTGTTAGTAAATGGACCGTACGCTTTAATCACCACAGCTGTTAGCGCTGATCTCGGTACGCACAAATCTTTACAAGGTAACGCACGAGCTCTTGCCACCGTTACAGCTATAATAGATGGTACAGGAAGTATCGGTGCTGCCCTCGGACCGTTATTAACAGGGTTAATATCAGGAACGGGTAGTGACGGATGGAATTACGTATTTTACATGCTGATTGCAGCAAATGTTTTTGCAATGATTGTAAGTATAAACTTTATTTTCTGTATTTCACTCATCTTCTTCTTTTTGGAGACGACTCACTTCACAAAAGGCCTAAGGCTCCACCCATTTCGAGCGACCCAAAAATTGGCATGCTTGTTCGTATTCAAATCTGTTGAAAATGAAAACCATCTGAAGTTGTAGAGAGTTGATCATGAGCCTGGCATGTGAATACATGTATAATAAATGATTTATATGATATCTGAGGTCAAAGGAGAGATCTGCATTATACAGATTTAGAGGTAACATAATTTATTGTTGAATGGGTTAAATTTATATACATATAATTGTGTTAATTGATTCTTACTTCTATACCATGCTAATGACAGTTATGTGCTATTTAATGTGTTATGCGAGGTGTTTTGTTCTAACACCAATGGGGGTATATGGCTGAATAGTAAGCGCGTGCGCGTTGTTTCATAAGATCTGTCATTCAGTCAACTGGGTTAGTTTCGATTCCCCGGTGCCGGTTGTACGAGACAAGGAGTAGGGTCGTGTTAAGACCACAATATTACTGTTAATTATAACCATTTTATTCCTTCTGACATTACATCAAAACCCCGCCATGAGCGGCCATTCACTCCCGCCAACCGGTCACTCACTTTCCGTCTACCGCACATGCTCACCCGAATAACTCACATTACATCATAGACATAATTGACATGAATGATTCACATTATATAAACACAGATAAATATTAACAGGCCGCCTGTCCAACCTCATGGGTTTTCTCTGGGTCCTCCGGTTTCCTCCCACTGCTAAAGACCCCTACGTGCAAGCTAATTATTGAAATAAAATTGAACCATATGTTAGTCCCGAAATGACCTAGTTTATGTCAAGTGGATGTTAAACCCCATTTCTCTCTCCCTGTTATATATATTATATAATATTTGTGTATATTTTTTCAGTTATTGGGTCGACTGGTCTATAAAGAGTTTCGTAGTTGTGGTTGTGGACGCCCTACATCGTAGTCTGTTCCATACACATCAAACCACATAATGAATTCACCTGAATTCACCTGTTACAATTACCACATACCTTCACAAACAAGGTCACGGTCGGATTCCTGTATCATCACCTACCTTCACAAATAACTAATACTTATTAATGTATCTACTTTTTAGAATTGATTGATGTTACCCATTTTAAGGGGTTTTTTTTCCATTTTGTGTTGAATTGTTTTAATGTGTTCATCGTAAATACTCTTTAATTTTAAATACTGGAATATTAGATGTCATTTGTCTGTAAAAACAAACAAGATTCTTTGTATCAGTTTCTGAAACCAAGTTGAAATTATCAAATATAATTTGTTCAAATTTGAGATTTTGAAATATCAATCAAAGTAAAATTAGGCTGTTCCGCTTGTGTCAGTCATCGATTTGTGCATGTTGATAATTTGGTGGAGACCAAGATCGCTAAATTCTTATAATGACTTCAATCCTACGATATCTGACTGTACATTTAGGTGGAAAAATGGGGTATACAACATATTGAATTGAAGATCGTCAAGTCAGAGAATAATATATTTGATGTAAACAGACAAATAATCTGATCAGGTTCATACAAATAATCCTGAAGCAATGGTTAAAAAGTAAATGATTCTCATAACCATTGCTCCAGGAAAAGTAATTTCAATGACTTTAACTGTATAGAATTTGTATAAATTGGAGTCCTGCTAGAATTTATGGCTGCATTAAAATCACAATATTTGTGTTTATTTGAAAAATGGCAATTCTGGGTATTTTTGATTTTAGCTTTTTAATCTACGCAAATTTTCTTTTAGATTTCTTTGTTATTATGTGTGTATTTTATTTTGTTAAGAATAGTTTATGGTTCTTATGATGTCATGTGATTTGCTCAAATATTATTATAGCCACGTATATATAGATACATATATATCAATCGGATTAAAACACAGATCCTATTTCGTTTCGTTTTTATAGTTCAAAATTTTGTTTTACTTGTCTTTACTACACTAGAATCTGGAAGAGCTGTTATATAACCTGCGTTCTGGATGATGTCAGGGATAAGCCAATGAAACGATCTGTTATGGCGATTTCATGGCCTTTCGATGCACGAAACTGTGGGTAAACCAATAGAAACGTCAACTCTGATTGATTAATCAATGTCTGACGTCATAGGGTCAAAAGCCGCTCGTTTGACCCCTGATGTGAACTCCCACTATAACTTGTCAGATCTTCATGTAGTGTAGGCCAACGAAAAGAAATATAGATCTGTACTTTATAATCAGATTGCATATACAGGACTCTCCAGTGAGGCGTTTTTAGAAATAAAACTGGCAATACACTTGAATACAATTACTGTCTATTACAGAACAACGTTTCAACTAGACTTCTCTAGTCCATAACACTACAAGGCCTATAGTCTTTATCCACTTGAGGGGTTCGATGGCCGAATGGTTAGCACATGTGCGCTGTATCATACGGTCTGTCATTGAGAACTGTATCTCATGTAAAAAAACAAACAGATTTTATTTTAAAGTTTTAAGAAATAAGAGCTATTCATATCTACAAATGCGATTTTCATATATATATTGTAGTCAAATATGTACAAATGTGATTTTCATGCGTAAATTTATATTGTAGTTACTGTTAAATATGTACAAATGTGATTTCTATACTTAAAAATATATTGTAGTTACTGTTAAATATTTTTCTATACTTAAATATATATTGTAGTTACTGTCAAATATGTACAAATATCCCACTGCTAATATTTTAAAGCTGAAGTCCTGAATTAAAGGAGAACTACAGTCATTGTACATTTTTATGTGTTTTTGTTAGTGTCTCATATTAAAATACTCTCAACGATACACAACTTAAAAAACAAACAAAACATTGTAAATAAATAAGCAAATCTAATAAAATAATTTTTGATGGTGTTCTCCTTTAAACTTTATCAAAAATCTGTGATGACATACTCCTGTTTTTTCTTTAATTTATGATGGTGTTCTCCTTTAAGCTTTATCAAAAATCTGTGATGACATTCTCCTGTTTTTTCTTTAATTTGTTAGAGCTATGAACTGATGATGATGTTCATAAGATAATTCTAATTAATTTCATGTCTCGGTTTTTAATTTTTTACATCTTTCATTTTGTATTTCTACTACTAGTAATTTTAGCTCAAGAAAATAATTATATGCATCTTTCATTTTATTGTGTATTTCTATTATTGGTAATTTTAGCACAAAACCTTATATATTGTATTTCCACAATTAGTAATTTTAGCACAAGACAATAATTTTAATTTGATTTTTTGGAGAGTTGAACACAAGTTTGAGACTAATGAAGAAATACAAGTGGTGAAATTGTAGGACGTTAAACCCCATTTCATTTTTGTAATATCATGAAATGGGGTTTTTACTTCTTACTTTTCTCAACCAAGGGGAATAAAGATGAAATGCGTATGCCATGTTGTGTGCTGTAAGAACAATTTTGCCTTGGCAGTGGCATTTCCTACTACGGGTACTCTTCATCGAATTACAATATCATCGGGGTTTTTTTTGTCCCATCCGTAAAACTGTTCCTTTCCATTTCCAACAGACTGGACCACTGACAATGGAGAAACCAGGCTAAAGAATCCTCAGGGATTTTCTCGGTCAACATCGGGGATTGAACCCTTGACCTCCCGGTTAGAAAGCTAGCGACCATCTGACCGAGCTACCACGATGATGGTTAACATCGGGGATTGAACCCTTGACCTCCCGGTTAGAAAGCTAGCGACCAACTGACTGAGCTACCATGATGACGGTTAACATCGGGGATTGAACCGTTGACCTCCCGGTTAGAAAGCTAGCGTCCAACTGACCGAACTACCACGATGATGGTTAACATCGGGGATTGAACCCTTGACCTCCTGACTAGTAAGTTAGCGTCTAACTGACCGAGCTACCATGTATTTTGATAATTAATGGATAACAAGATATTTACCAATTAAAGGATTATAAAGGCGATTCTATTCCCCCTATTCTACCTCCTCGTGTCTCCAAGATTTTATTTTTATTATCAAGGTTTTAATTGTGTTCACTTTGAGTTCTGTGATAAAATATTTGAGATTTCACAACGAAGAAAAATTACAGGTCATATTTGTTTAGTTGGGGATTTACTGTTTCTATGTGATTTTAGTTCAAAACTTAAAATTATTGTTTTTAGGTGGTTTTTGTTCAAACTGTAAAATTACTGTTTCTATGTGATTTTAGTTGAAAACTTAAAATTATTGTTTTTAGGTAATTTTAGTAAAAGCTGTTAAATTACTGTTTCTATGTGATTTTAGTTCAAAACTGTAAAATTAATGTTATTAGGTGATTTTAGTTCAAACTAAAATTAATTTGTTTTTAGGTGATTTTAGTTCAAGCTGTAAAATTATTGTTTTTAGGTGATTCTAGTTCAAACCTTAAAATTATTGTTTTTAGGTGGTTTTAGATCAAACTGTAAAATTAATTTGTTTTTGTGTAGTTGTTATTATACATGTATTTGATTAAATAACCTGTTTTATTGTATGTGTATATAATGAATTATATAATACTGTTGTCATGGTGATTGATAAAATCTGTGTTTTTTATTAAAGCTGAACTCCGATTACAAAACTACAGAAATAATTAAATAAAAAAAGTTAACGCCTTAAATAATAGCCATACTTGTTTTTGATTTGTCCACATCCGGCTAGCAAGATTTCAACTACCAAATACCTCCTGACTGTTTGAAGTCTTTCCACTATCGGCTCACAGAAAATATTGTTGCTACACAATTATTATGTCTGATCAGGTACATATTATTTTACTAATTAGATGAAAAAAGTCAACCATGATGTATATGACAAGGCACATACTGGATGTGGGCGTGGCCTGTCTCTGTTTTTGTACGTCGTGGTACCATCACCATGTTTGTTCTACAAATTGAAAACGAGTATGGCGAGTATTGAGGGCGTTTCCTTTTTATTTATATATAATTATTTCTGCAGTTTTGTAATCAGAGTTCAGCTTTAATACTTATCTAGACCATATTTGGTTTTCATTATTAGAGAACAGTACAGAATAAGGATGTACAGTATTCAACTTGTAAATATAACATTCCTCTAGGGTAAAATTCATATAGATATTATTTTACGGACAAATGTCTTAACATACCTTGTATAAGTGTTGGAGATTAAAATGTTCTTAATAATTAAACTTGTTTTAATACTCATATTGTAAAATATTATAGAATTAGTTCAAATATTGAGGTCATTCTTTTTTAAAATACAGATGTGCCATCATTCTTTGATGTTGGCATACCATTATTTCAAATAATGGTACGGGCAAAGTGCCAAGCGTACATTATTTATACTAGTTAAAATATTGGACCCTTGTGATGTATTTCATTGTAAAGTACATGCAAGTGTCTGTATTTTAAGTTGTAGGATATGTTTTATTTTTTCATTACAAAATGGCACCCGAAACCATAGGGTACACGACTCGTGTACTGATTATAAAATGTTAATTGTGTCTTAAAGATTTGATACAGGATCATATAGATTCACGGCAAGATAACAACATCAATATTGATTGAAATTGATCAATATTGAAATCTAATTCATGTTTTTAATTTCGAATATTATGGAAAATATTGAGTTAGAGACTTAGCTCCTTCAAGGTCATTGTTGTTTGTGTCTGGAAAGTCGGTCATATTTCAACATTGGCTTCTGTAAAATTTGGAGTAAGTCAGATTGTCATCCCATAAAATGAATCAACACAAAATTCAATCAACATGTTTTTATCTTCGACCCAGATCAAAGAGAATGTGCCAATTTTGAATAAACCCCATTTTATTATTGTAATTACATGGGCCCGGTTTCACAAAAAACTTAAATCTCCTTAAAAATTTCATCCTAACTTGAGATAGCACTCGGCAAACCTCAGCAGATTCCAGTAACCTAGCTTGATGTAGAGTAACAGAATCTGCCGAGTGTTGAGATAGGTGAGTTTTGACTAAATCGATCTTCATAAAAGGATGAAATTGATAATTCCATTTGAGTTTTAGTTATTTTATTTTTGTGAAACAGGGCCTCCTGTTGTTTACATGATTTTGTTGGGGTTTTTTTCAACATGAAGTATGAATGGATGATTAATAATTTATGTAGTTTTGGTTCCTGGATTATATTTAATTGTCTGTTATTGTATATATACTTGATAAATAAAATGTTTTAAATTATAATTCTCATGATTTATTTTACAAAAATATTTAAATAGAGAGAGAGAAATAATTAAATGGAATAATATGTGGTATCAAAATTATAATGCCATTGCCCATAAATTATAATACCACTGTCCATAAATGATACAAAAGTTCGAATCCCATGACAAATAACTATAAGGTGACATTCTGGAAGGAGAAAGCATTTTTTGTCCTGTGGAAAACGTCCCGCACCAAATAGAGATTAACATCCACTCAACACAAATTAGGTCATTTTGAGACTAACAGACGGTTCAATTTTTATTTCACTAATTAACTTGCCCGTAGGGGTATTTAGCAGTGGGAGAACCCAGACAAAATCCATGCGTTTAAACAGGCGACCTCACTCCTCGTCACCTTCAAGCTGGAAATTAAAATTACACCAGTTGACTCAATGACAGACCTTACGATCTAAACCACATGTTAGATGATTCAGCCAACCCCCAAATAGAAAAGATATTTAATAGATATGTTTGAATAGATTTCATTGATGGTGAAACAACAAACTCACCAACACTCCCATCCGAACGACTACACAGCTGTCCTTGTCAGGCCCTCCGTCATGTATCACTGACAAGGGGAAACCACCCCAGAAAATCTGGATAAACTTTCTAGGCCAATGCAGGGATCGAACACCCGACCTCCAGGCTAGCACGCCTCGTGCAGTATCAATATATCTCAACCATTAAACCATACATAATTACTGTTATTAATCTCTTGCTTGTTATCACCACAGAACGGTTCCCTGTCTATATCGTCTTCAATTACTAAATACAGATAAAACAATTTGACCTATATCAGTGGTTTAAATATGACTATAAGAGAGAGAAATGGGGTTTAACATCCACTTGAAAAATTAGGTCATTTTGGGACTAACATAAGGTTTCATTTTATTTCAATAATTCGCTAGCACGTAGGGGTCTTTTGCAGTGGTAGGAAACCAGAGGACCCAGAGAAAACCCAACAAGGTTGGACAGGCGACCCTACTCCTTGTCTCGTGCAGCCAGGGAATCTAAACCACACCAGTTGACTCAATAACAGACCTTACGATACAATGCTAACCATTCGACCATAAACACCCCCCCACCACCCTATATGACTATCAGCCAGAACATCTGTGAATTCTAACTTCCAATGACTTTTATATATGCACTGAACTCCCAGAAATGAATATATTGGTACCTGACAAACAGAAGTACACTATCACATACCTCACACTTGTCTTCTTGAAACAAAAATTGAAGATATCTCGGGTACTGAGAAAATATCTCTAATAAACAACAAGATAAATTGATAATTGTTATATTTGTGTTTATTTGGACAGATTTACAGGCTACAGAAGAGATATGGTGTAATTTACTATTTCAAATAAAGAGATGTGTATCTAGATGGTGCTATATAACAAGATCACAGTGGTGTATCCATAGCAACCTACAGATCAGTGGTGAATCCATAGTAACTTACAGATCAGTGGTGTATCCATAGCAACTTACAGATCAGTGGTGTATCCATAGCAACTTATCGAAAGTGGTAAGAACATGGCTCCCAAAATTAGGAAGTTAACCAAATTTATATTTAAGAGGATTTGTGTTGGTTACTGCTTTGGCAAAACTAAGAGTGTGTCCTGTAAATTAAAAGTTCCTCTTTTTCAGGTTTCGGGAGAGTGACCTGAATGGATAAATGTGATGGGGGTTAGTCATGGAAAAAAGGTTCCCCTTCCCATAAAATAGGCCACTGAGCTCAATTAATTCTATATTTAAAAAGAAATAATATTTTAGTATCACAGCTTTAGCTATTTAACATTATTTAACATTATTTAAGCACTTGACAAACAAATATAGTTTTTGAACTTGATGCAAAAACCGCTAACATTTTAACAGGGCTAAAGCCAGATTTATAGATTACAATCAAAATTATTGAAATTACAACTAATAAACAGAGAAAGAAAACTTACAAGATAGTAATCAAAGATATATTAATAATCAGAGAACAAAAAACAAACATTTCAGACTTAAAAAAAAAAAAGAAAAAAATAACATATCAATAAAATATACTATGACTAAATTAATTAGAACATATCAATAAAATAAACTATAACTAAATTAATTAGAACTCAATAAAATATACTATGACTAAATTAATCAGAACAGGCTGAGTCAAAATTATAATATAACAGGTTGAGTCAAAATAGTTAATATAATAGACTGAGTCAAAATATTTAACAAACTGAGTCAAAATAGATAACAAACTGAGTCAAATTAAACAACAGAGCGAAAATAGAAAAGTTAAAAATCAGTTAATTTGATTAAAATAACAACAGTAGAAACAAACAGCATAAATATGACTAAAATACAGACGTTTTATAGCATGTAAATACTACAATAGCAGTGAGGTTATATGGTTTATATATTTATAATAGTTTATTATATATAGGTCTATAATATTAGCATAAAAACATAATATATAACACATAATATATGACATATATTGTTTAGAAGGGTTTCAGCAAGGGTTTCTTCGTCTTTCATCAATCAATGGTGGTTATTATGTCAAATACACCACAGGAAGTACAGGTAAATAATTAAAATATGAACTACATATACACCACGGGAAGTACAGGTAAATAATTAAAATATGAACTACATATACACCACGGGGAAATAATGGTAAATTATTAAAATATAACCTACATATACATGACCTTTAACCTCAATATGTTATATTATACACCCCCTAATATTACTGTACATTTAATTCATTTATTTCTATCATGAATACATATAAATAGATTATAGATTTAAATATTAAAATATATTTGTATAACAATATATAAATATACCAAACTAAGAATGTTAATGATTAATCAATATTTGACCAACATATACTGGCTCAGGAACAATCCAAGTTATTTAAACATGCATTATGAAAGCAAAATCTGCCTATTGCAGGTATTTCTTTTGACTATATAATTTATTATATAGCCATTTACGACAAGCCATAATCAAATCTCTAGAATATGGAAAATCTAGGTGCAACATAAAATTGATTAAAATCAACTATGATATTGTATTAATTTAAATTCTTATATATGTAATAACTCAGATCGTAAACAATAATATCTAAGAATAGAAAATTATATTAAAATCAACTATCATATTCTATTGTTGAAACTTGAATAATAAATGTCGTTAACAAAACAATAAATACTGTGAGGAATGGAAAAAACTAAGCAGCATTTACTCATATTTCTGAGTGTTATAGGCCTATAGCTTAGTAATATGTGTTATAGGCCTATAGTAATATGTGTTATAGGCCTATAGCTTAGTAATATGTGTTATAGACCTATAGTAATAGTTGTTATAGGCCTATAGTGATATTTGTTATAGGCCTTTAGTAATATTTGTTATAGGCCTATAGGTATATGTGTTATAGGCCTATAGTAATATTTGTTATAGGCCTATAGGTATATGTGTTAAAGACCTTTAGTAATATGAAAAGAACAAGAAACCCAATAGTTGGACTAAATATTTTTTTGAGTTTTTGTTGTCAGAAAGCTGAGTGTTTATTTATTTATTCACCACGGTAACGTTCGACGTCGGGTAAGGTGTGTACTGAAAAAGAATAACAAAAACATTAACAAATTATAATTTAAAAACAACCCTCTAATCATCCAAACATTTCTTTACTTTCTGAATCTGTACGTCGCAGGGCCTGTTACAGCATGTACGTAAATTGTTTCAATTGTTTAGGTGGGTTGTAGCACCATGGGTCTTCTGTCAGACATGGAGAGCGGGCGATGGAAACCGGTTGCCACATCCTACGTACGACCCATGCATCTTTTCTTACTACATATCTTAGTAGCCTTGTGATCGTCTAGAATTTGCCTCTAGCTGTCTTTACTTCTGCTTCACGTTGTGTATTTAATTCTTACTGTTTTCTTAAGACATTTGTCTTCTCAGTAGTTCTAACAATGCAACTGTTCGTTTTTACATTTTATATATCAAGCTGGATACATATAAGCATTGTATAGATTACAATACTAAAGTCAATCTCAAACCCTAGCCAGCCAGACTCGATATGGGCGAGTCTGCTGATAGAAATGGTTACATCTTTCCCTTCCAGAATCTCTCTGTTGTCTAACGAATTCTCACAAGTATGATAGTTTTGTAGCTGTGGGTTTTGGACGTTCAATTATCTAATTGGTCAAATATCATGTAAATAAGTATAGAGATTGGTCAAACAAGCCAAATGATGCAATCGTAATTTTCCGTCACATGTTTTTCGACACAATCTATCCTTGAACTCAGACCGGACAGACCCTCTTTCCTATTATTCTCACACAATTACATAAACAATTAATTTGCGTTTTAAATAAACTCATACCATAGCTAATATACTGACAATAGAGAATAATTTGTAAAGATGAAAATGTTGTTTAAACCATCTTATTCCTCTATTCCTTGTCTATAAATTTAAAACAATGTCGCAACGACGATAGTGCTACAGGGTTCAGTAAATCAAAGAATGTGATATGTGGACACTAGATCAATCTTCCAATCGAAATCAGTGATACAAAAATATGTGGCAAGTCATATGAATGATTATTGCTACTTATAAACAATAGAATGTAGTCTTATCATAAAACCTTATTGATACAAAAATTAATCAGGCCCCCCCAACTTAGATTTAAGTTCAAAATTTACTCAACTTTCAATCACTGTTTATAAAAAATATCGTTGATCCAGAAACACAAAAACTTTGCACAGATTCTTATTGATGTATTTGATAGATTAAAACAACACACGTTTTATAAAGGGCTATAATTTAGTTAAAATAAGATGAACAATTTTAAGAAAGTTCTTAACTTAAGTTTGAGAATGCTTTGTGAACTTTGAGCCTGATCGATCCTAACAGAAGTTATGGCCATCTGAAGCTTCCATTACTTTCTTTTGGATTTCATGCTGCTATTTATTTCTCTCTGCGATCATTAGCCCACTCCTGAACATCCTCAAACAATTTGAGTACAATCTAAACAACACTTTTATGTCTATATTTATTTTAAATTTAAACAAGGAAAATGATCATTGGCCTTGAGGCTGTATAATAAGTATATTTAACTTACAATGACATGTACACCAAACTGGGCGTGGTCTTCCCGACCACACGCTATAGCAGGTTTCAGTTGCCCATCAGGTAAAACACCAATATGACGCTGTCTTTCTTTTAATGATTCCAGCAGAATAAACTGACCAGACTGTGATAGCTGGAACTTGGTTTCTATTCCATGGTTACTTCCTGGTGGCTGAAATAAATACCATAATATTTACATACATGTCGTGGGATAACTTGCACTCTATGGTTCAGATTAAAGTTTTAAACTTTGAGTGAGAGAGGGAGGGATGGAGAGAGAGAGAGGGTGGAGGGTTTAAGTCAACACAAAATAGGTCATTAATCATTTCGGGACTAAAATATGGTTCAATTTCATATCAATAATTCACTTGTGCTTAGGAGGAGAAAACTGAAGGACCCGGACAAAAGACCCCCTCCTTTCAACTTTATGAACAATATTTCTAATCTTTTTTCTTCCCAAATATCAAGTTTCTGGGCCACCAACTCACCATGTTAATCAAACAAGTAGCTCCATTATGTATGGTAAGATAATTATGGTTGTTATGGAGACGGACTTGATTTGATCCTTCGTTAGTAACGGTCCAATGAGCTGAAAAATAAACAAAACATAAAAATCTAATCCAGATATTAAATTTTCTTTACAATGGTTTGATTGTAAAAACATGTAACAGGTCATACTCCTCGCAGTGTTTCGTTTGATTAGAGCTAATCCCGCTACTCACTGCTGTAAACAAAGCAAATTCTTGTTCCAAATTGTGACTGGTCAATAGTACGATTAACAACCAATAGCTAACTGCGTAACAATATCATTAGCTTTAAACAGAGCTCCAAATTGGACCAAATATGTTTACATAACGTTACGTCATGACTCACGATTTCACTATGCCCAATTAACCAGTGCATAGCAGAATATTGCAGAAAAACTAATTGTGTGACAAACGAGGCTATCAACACGGATATAACGTAAACAATACTGTTTTGAGACGAACAACACTTTCACCGCTTTTAATACCTTAAATCACTGTCCAAAGTTTTAGGGAAGACCCCTGAATAAATGAAGGGCTGTCATGTTGCTGTGTTTGGGGATAGATTTGATTGAACGGGAAGAATAGACACACTCCCTCAAAAGCGCAAGTATCAGAAGCTAATCCAGCAATGACCAGAGAGGGATTTCTGGGGCCATTACATCAGGAATATGTGGCACAGGTCTGTGAGGAAGAGAAGTCAATTCAATGTAACAGAGGTGACAGATGTTTTAAAATGACACTATTTGTTTCCAACACAGACAATGTTGGTGAAACAGTTTCGCTCTATGAAATCATGTGACAAAGTAAGTAAAAAAAAAACGCCATTCCAACAAGCTGTATTTCAATGCCATTAAATTGATACTCTTTATTATGATTGCTAAAACAGGCATTATTTAAAAGCTAAATCTACCTATTGCAGGTCTTTCTTTGGGCCTTAAATTATTAATTAGATAAATTATATAAATTATTAATTATATTATTAATTAGACATTTATTAATTATTAAATTATTAATTAGACATTTATTAACATGATAAGATCACAATCAACTCTCGTTGCCATGGGAAGGCCCCGATTTTAAGTAGATTAGAACGGTTTAGCCATTTAATGATTTAATTTACACCTCAGTGACCTTGATGAAAATTGAGCTGGCCTTAACAAATAGATTTAGCCCTGCCTTTCATGGTTACATACATAAAAGTAACAATGTACACCAAGCCTAATGAATATTGATGAGTCTGACAGGAGTATCATTTTGATGGTAGATTATTTATAGATATATACTAACTATGGAAAGCTTGGGGATCACTGGGACCATGACCATCAACAGCTAATTGACCATTCTGTAAAGCTATAATCTCTAAACATCTTCCACTAGCTCGAGATACTAACTGTACAACATTACCAGTTTTAAACAGTTCCTAAATACAATATACAAGATATAATATACAAGTTTTAAACAGTTCCTTAACACAATATACAACACAAGATATGATATACCAGATTTAAACAGTTCCTTAACACAATATACAACACAAGATATGATATACCAGATTTAAACAGTTCCTTAACACAATATACAACACAAGATATTATATACAAGTTTTAATCAGTTCCTAAAGTAAGCAATATACGGTATGGTATATATAACATAAAAAACTTCTTTTATTCAAATTGCGGGGAGACTTTTTCCATGACAGCATCATTTTCTCCTACTGTTAAGGGATCTTTCATGGGCATGTCAAGATTTACATGAGTAAAGCCTGGTTTTTCGTACGTTCCAAATGACGAGGGAACACCTTAATAGTCAGCCTCTGACAAGTGCTACCCCTGACTAGTGGAAACCACGCTTGACAAAACCCAGGATTCGTCTCACGCTATACAGGGAGTTCAGTATCCTCACATCTCACGTAAAAGTCTGAACCCAGGGTATTCTAGTCAAGAGTCCAGTATCCTTACCGCTTGCGATCCCATGTCACATTCTCCTGTTGTGTGTTTTTGTCAGGCAGTTAGGTAGAGTGAGGATCAAACATCTAACTATGTGATTAGAGTTAGAGGTCTAGCTCTGTAACCTCTGTGCTGTTTCCTTCTGAACTATCTCACGTGTTCAGTCATTTACACTATATTAATATAATTAATGGCCAGTATAAACTAGACCTTGTTAATGGGGCCCAGTTCTTCGGACAATATACAAACAAATTTCAATGTGAGAAACGTCCAACAGGTAACACAAACCAATTACAGAGGGTTTGATGGGATCAATTTTGATGATGCATTTGATATTCAGGTAAGTTGATATACAATAATTAATTAAAAACAATATCAAATAACCATCGTTTTATCCAACATTTCGTTAGTAAAAATACTAACTTCTTCAGGGATGAAGAACTAAATACAAAATGTAGGCGTATTAATTGAAAATGGCAAAAGTATAAAAATATTTCTTCGGCCAGGGACAGAATCTATTAATTCTCCAAGAAGACAAACAGTAGAGAAGTATTCACACCCTCATGGATATTAAAATGGCTTAAATATAATTTATTGGATCTTCTGGATTCAATTAAAGGGGCATTATGGATTGGCAGTTTTCACTATAATAATTACAAACTAGATAATGTAAAGAGAATTTGCTGAAAATTTCAGTCAAATTGATTCACTCTGAACCTAGATAATAGCTTTTGAATTTTAGGCCTAGCCTCGATCAACATTACTAATGTCTGTACGATAAAAAACATAGTCTTGATTATCCATTTTTGGATTAAATCATCAATGAGCGTTGAGCAGCTATGTCATCGAGAGTTGATTATGGCCTGGATAAGTTAATTAATGTCTAATTAATAATTTAGATAACATTTCTGGCCTAAAGAAAGACCTGCAATAGGCAGATTTAACTTTTGTATAATGTAAGTTTAACATCAACTTACCAACATGGCTCCAGCAGCATGTGTATCAACAACCTGATTCAGTTTATTAGAACAATAATCTATCTCCTTATTGAACTGTTTACCTACTTTATTCATCTCAGATTTTAAACTACCAAAAAAACCTGGCTGAAAATAAATAAATAAAACATACAGGTAGAAATATACAGGTACACCACATGCAAACAAGCCAACAGTGAGGCTGATATCCCCGACCAAAATCCCAAAATAAATAGATGACACATATTGATTAATCGCACATTTATTTTTTTCAGAAGTAGCAAGCAATCAAACTGATTATCAACGAGAGAGAGAAAAAGAGAGAGAGAGAGAGAGAGAGAGAGAGAGAGAGATGGGGTTTAACGTCCACTCCACACAAACCAGGTCATTTAGGACTAACATATGGTTCAATTTTATTTCAACAATTTCTCACGTGCAGGTGTCTTAATCCGTGGGAGGAAACCGGAGGACCCAGAGAAAACCCACGAGGTTGGACAGGCAACCCTTCTCCTTGTCACGTACATCCCGGGAATCGAAACACGCCAGTTGACCCAATGACGGACAATGTGATACAGCGCACATGCTAACCATTCAGCCATCCAACCCCCCTAATTTTAGATAAGAACTTGTCGTTCAGCTAGATCCTCTTGTTAATTCTGCTGAGGTCATAATAAACATATAGACAGCAGCATGCCACACCCACTAGTAAAGCTGTCCATCATTGTCAACAAATCTACTATCAACAGAAAGCTAGCTACATCTCCTACGAAATCTTATTAAATAAATAATCATTTCCCATAATAGCACAAGTTATTAAATTCGTAAAGTTTCCAATATCTGCTTTCCAGAACATTATTGCAAACTTATTGAAATAGGCCACAAATTAATAATGATTATCGTTACATTCAAAGTCTTATGCGTACCACTAGATACTATTGTTCTTCCCCCAATTACTGTCAAGGTCTAAAATAATCTTTCTACTTACTGCTGGTTTTTGGTGAACGGTGGTGTGTTGAACTGTTACATTATGACTCTAAAAAAAAGACAAAATGTAGGTAGAATAGGCTAATCATAAAGTTTGTGATCATTTTATAACAGAGCCTAATCATGCCCACTCTCTCCTGGTCTTTGAAATTGTGACTTTTCTACTATGCCACCAAAAATCAGAAACGGTCAGTACAACTCTTTCGGCCTTTACCACACTTTGCTCTTTGCTGTGGTTAATTTTGAGTACCGCAACTCTATAAATTTAATTATTATTATTTGGGAATGTTAACAGATATTGAATAATACAAGAGTTTTACCGATGCTCCGGGTTGAGGAGGATAACCTGGATATCCGGGGTAACCTTTCTTTTCTGCCATTTTTCTGGAAAATATAAAAATACATAAATAAAGAACAGCAGGTACATTTATTACATCAGATAAATCATGTTCAATAAAATCTAAATATAAATGACTCAACGATAATGGGCGGTGTCGAGGAAGGTTATGGTACGTACTGACAATTGATGACTGTACGAATCAACTCAACTCGGTGACCAGTACTTCCTGTGGTTGTTCTGGGTTTCTAACAGGGTTGTGATCATCAAGTTCAGTTGATAAACATGTATACAGGGAGTGGTCTGGAGCTGGTCTCGTAAAGCGAGCGTAAACTTACATAAATTCATTACCGTAAAGGGCCTAGTAATAAAATGTTTGGATTATGCGTGCTTAGTGAAAAGGTACCCATGCTACATGTATATTGAATCTTGAAGTGTAAAAGATCAACTACTGGTATACACTTAAGCTGTTGTAGGTTTAGCTTTATTATCAGGGAATATTAACAGAACACAATTTTTATGGGAAACAATAACTGGTTTTATTCTAAAAGCACAACTTTTGATTGTGTTCTGTTAATGTGTTTCCCAATCGCTAAATGCCACTTAACGATTATCAGGGAATATGATAAGGAAATATAATTGATTAGAAATTATTGGATGTTTTAAAAGAAGGTGATAATCAATCTGAATATTTCTGTTTTTGTTTAGCTAACTGCAATATGAAATGAAATGAAATGAAATGAAATGGGGTTTAACGTCCTACTGTTCTGCTCCTAACCTGGGCTAATGAAGACAGGCATACGCCATACAGTGTGCTATGAGGGAAATTTTGCCCGGGCAGCGGCACTATCGCCTACTCATATATCGAATTCCAACTGCCAGGGGATCTTTTACGTGCATGCCAATATGTACACGGGACCTCTGTTTTCCGTACCATCCGAACGACTAGACAGCTGTCCTTGTCAGGCCCTCCATCCTGCATCACTGACAAGTGGAAACCACTCCGGAAAATCTGAATTAACTTTCTCGGCCAATGCAGGGATCGAACACCCGACCTCCAGGCTAGCGAGCCAGCGTCTTACCCACTTAGCCACGTGATCCCCAACTGCAATGAAACTGCTTATCATATTCCCTGCTATATATATATATATGTATTGACTGATATAAGCTATAGGTACATGTATAAATCAACAGATGTGACGTCTGGGTATATATGTGACCAGTGCTGCCGAAATGAGTCGGAATACGCAAAGCCTAATAATGAGCTACAGACAAAACAAGTCTAAATATTGATTTTGATCAAAATTAAGATTTTCACAAAAATGGGTCTATAAATCATAAATGTACTTTCTATCCAACCCAAAAGATAAAAAAAACAATAAAACATTTTAAAACGACGATTGTTGAGTCCGCCATTATTTGTGTCATTACAACCGCCGCCAAAATGCACGGAAAGAAATTGAAATTTCTATCATTCTATCGGGCATTCATATTTTGATACCGTTACGGTACTTGAAAATAAAAATAGATCTATTGTACAAGCAAAACGTAATTTTTATTCAGTCATGTGATGGCTTCTTTGATGATCAAGAAAGTAAACTTGATTAACCAATCAACAATCTTAATCTCCTGACCACTGGCCCTAAGGTGCTAATTAATTGACGAGATTAACTGAAGTTATTCTCACCAAAGTTATACTACAATTTTTACTACAATTTCCATCTTGAGAACCCTTGAAAGCCTATAGCATAAAACATTAAACAACAAAATAGCAAATAAACGGTATGGTTGCCATGTAATTTTTGTTTTGGAACAAACCGATATCTTTAACTTGCTTTTTCTCTAAACTTACTTTGCTTGCTTAGGCAGCTTCAAATGTACACAGCTCAGTCAATTGTTGCCCGATTTAAACCAACCATACATAATTTTGAAGGTATTGACATAACTCAATTTTCAAAATTTCCTCATTGCGACTCAGTTTTTTGCCAGCACAACAGGGGTCACATTATGATAACTATGATGAATATGATGACTCACTAGCATAAGACATTGTTTACTTAAGTTAGTCCTATTTATTGTAAATGAGATGAATGATGATAATCTATCATTTTCATCAGAAAATCTTGTTCTGTTTAAATAATTGATGGATATTTATTTTTGGTTTATCATCCCTAATTAATAATCTAAATCAGAGCAGGGATCTAAGTTTGTAAATAGCTGCGTGTTCTTGAGAAATGAGTAGGCATTGCCTAATTATTAACGCAGACTGAGAGACTTGTCAGTTGATCGAGATCGGAGTTGTCTGATCGTTTCACTTATCTCATCCCATTTTGTTGAATGTCAGTCACTTCTGTCCCTTGACACTGACAACGCAAAGATTGACAAAAAAAATTAATCAGATAATCATAGCGAATAAAACCTACCGGAATAAATCAAAAACTTCTTCGGACTTTTGTCGTTCCCTTTTTCTTGAACTTTCTCAACTTCCACTTTTTTAATTGGTTGATTACAAATTTTAAAACTATTTGCGTCGTGTACAAAAAAGCCAAACGAATATTAACCAATTTTTCTTTTAAAAGTTTTGATAAAAGAAGATAACAACAATCTGTCATGAACTATTGTGAATATTATCAAATACGATAAACAAAAAGAAAAAAAAATCTAAAGTAATTTAATTTCGTTTCAAAAGAAAAAAGGAATTATGAATTTTGTTTAACCAATGATGAAATTCTTTAATCTATAATCCAAACTTTTTTGATATGATTTCGAATTTAAATACATGTATTCAAGATCATCATTAATGCAATTAACAATGAGATTAAGATAAACATTATGTAAACAATTTGATCTCTCAATTTGATCTTATTTAAAAAGATTATTGATAACCATTTAGATAGAGATTATTCAAGATGGCGTCTTTGAATTTAGAATTTTCAATTATTTGCTAATAACTTTATTAAAAATGTGAATTCTTCATGTTAAAAACATCAAAGAACGAACCATGTCATCGAGAAGGAACCATGACCTATTTTTCATTTTATTTATATTTTGTTTCGTTTGTGAAATTGTACCACAACTGATTGTAAATGTCAAAAACCAAGGCGGCGACATAGTTGTTGAGAGCATCCAATCTAATGTGACGTCTGATACCATCACACTTCAGTTCAGGAATAGCGACGGCTCATTCATAACTCAATTTATTGATTTTAAATCGGTTAGAAATGTTTAACACTTGGCGATCATGTTTGATCCGACTCCCTTTTCTATTTCCATCACTTTAATATTCTATCACTTTTACATTTTATGATTAGCCTAGGGTTAGGCCTTAGGGTCAGATATTTAAGATTAAAACCTATAAATTCAGGTTTAGGGGTTTAAGATTAAAACCAGTGAGTAACTCAGTAAGACAAGACTTCAACAACAATGAAATATTGAGACAAAAACAATGGGAGTCACATCAAACATGAAGGCCTAACACTTTACTAAAATATACACCTACTGTCTGATTCATCGTAAATTTTAAACGGATTTCTTCGATTATGAACAAACTACTTAACTTTGGTTATTATAAACTTACCTGTGTGTTTGTAATGAACTCCCGTTCGATAAAATCCATTGCACAACTAATTATCACAACGATGAGAACAATTTCTCTCTTGAAAAATTTGAAAATTTACTTGTAATTTCGACAGAGTCGATGTCAACAATGTCTTCGTGACGTATTGGTCGAATCCAATATACCTGTTGCGGGGGTTGGTTAACATTGAAAGATAGTTTGACAGCGCGATCATTTTAATCGTATATGGGTTTGGGCGACGAAAAATATCAATTGAAGGCAATTACATAGGAGATTTATATGGAAACCATTGATCGCCAGTCTATCAAATTTTCTTCACAATTAAAATATCACTGATTGCACGGATACTCGTAAAAATAAAGTCATAAATAAACTATAAATATCCTATCTTCTTTATGTTATAAATAATTTAACAAGGATCATGAAGCTTACCTCCGAATTCTCTGAGTGTATTTTTAATTTTATACGCATTCTTTCGATCGAATAATAACCGCTTCAGTAACATCTTTAAGCGTGTTGCGGCAGCCCTCAGCGTGTCTATTGCCGTATTGGGTGCCCGGGTGGGTATATAATGCTACTAAGCCCGTATGACCCCGTAAGAAGCGGAACATTAATTCTCGATTCGACAGTTTTGACCGAAGTGTGATAAAGCCCGTAAAACGAATGTATAGTTGTGTTTGTGCGGCATGCGTGTTCAAAAGTAAGTAATCCCATCCGAGTCGCTAATCAAATAATTAGAACAAAATATTTCAAAAAGTAAAGCTATAAAATTTGCAGAGATTTTACTAGAATGTAAAAGACGGTAACTAAATACAGGAATGCGGGTAGTTATGTGTGCGAACGCTCAAACTCAATGCCAATTGTCGTAGGTATCCAGACCACTCGGACCAAAGACTACTCGGACTAAGACCAGTCGGACCAAAACAAGACCAGTCGGACCAATTAAATTATATTATAAGGCTAGACAATATGCTATTTATTTATTATTAAATCACAATACAAAGAAGCAAATAATTCTTATACGGAATTCTTATATTTAGAGTTGTTTGGTTCAATTTTGTGTACGTAAATAAATCAACGATTAGTTTTAAAATTAATTAATAATGGTGCCAAAAAAAAATATCAATCTAATTTTTCTTTACTCTTGCAATGAGACTCGGTATGTTCAGACTTTTGACAGTTTCTACATATACGGGTATACTGTTCTTGTCTGATAGCCTAATTTTACTTTTTCCACATTCGCGGTATCCCCAGTGGTTTCATTCCGTTCTACCCCACTAACCCCTGGGTTACTATATATGGGGGGGGGGGGGTGGAGACACGTTTTCAAGTTATCCGCCCTTGATGCGTTAATATAAACAGCACATAATAATACGAAGACTGGACGTTTATATGCCCCTTTTTAAACGTGACTACAAGTGTGGTTCTCGATATTTTGCGATTTGGAATACAATTATCAATTTATTCAAACAACACGTTATTATTAGTTCGAGTAGTCATATTAAAACACACACAATTATCAATTTATTCAAATAACACTTTATTATTGGTTCGAGTAGTCATATTAAAATAAACACAATTATCAATTTATTAAAATAACACTTTATTATTGGTTCGAGTAATTATATTAAAACAAACGCAATTATCAATTTATTAAAACAACATTTTATTATTGGTCCGAGTCGTCTTTCTGTTGGGTCCGAATAGTCTTTTTGTATGGTCCGAGTAGTCTATTTGTTTGGGCTGAGTGGTCTATCACTTGGTCCGACTGGTCTTGAACCGAGTGATCTTTGGTCCGAGTGGTCATGGATTCTTGTCGTAATTGTACTTGAATTTCCTATGCTGTCACCCCTAATACGAAATGATTTCTTCCGCAGAGTGACGTAACCATCTTCCATATTGGTATTTTTCTCTGGGAAAAGTTTGTGATATTTCAATTTTTCAAGAGAGAACTTGTTTTCATCGTTGTGATAATTAGTTGTGCAATGGATTTTATCGAACGGGAGTTCATTACAAACACACAGGTAAGTTTATAATAACCAACGTTAAGTAGTTTGTTCATAATCGAAGAAATCCGTTTAAAATTTACGATGAATCAGACAGTAGGAATAGAGTTGTTTAGAGCAAAACCACAAATTTCTGGTTCAACCATAAGGTCCATGCGGGCATGCTTCATCCTATCTCTGGTGATAAAAGTTGATATCTTTGGGATTTAGTAGAGGAAGAAAAATATATGCGTGCATATCTCATGAACCTAAGTCCAAATGGGATTAAAAGCTGATCTAACTCTAGTCCAATTGGAGGTGAAAAGTAGGATGTTAAACCCCATTTCTATAATTCATTTAATTTATAATTGGCGTCATTGCTATTTGTAACTAACTCACTTTAGGGGATTAAGCTAATTACTCTAGAAATGGAATGAAACAACCAGATGCACGGATTTAACATGAAATCAGATGAACATACATGTAGGCCTACCCATATAACAGAGGACATTTACAGACTTAAATGGTTCTGTTCTAAACTAGGAATAGAGAAATGATTAATGTATATTGCACATAGTACAAATAGTACTACCACTTGCAGTTAACCCATACCTTGACACGGTAGATAACTACATGTAACCAACTATCTCAAAATGCTCCATACAGAAATCCAACTAAAATTTATGACAGAGTCTTCGAGACAAAATGAAACTGTGATTGACAAATGCTACGGTACAAATTTCTGATTTCATGACAGATGGTTTACTGGCTGATAATTTCCACCAAAATGAAGGCTTTTGAATAATTTCTTGCACGATCAAAGGGATATAACACAATTAATTGTACATTGTATGCAAATCTTTTGGTCATTTGTAAAGTATGGTAGTCTACACACAAGGAAATGTTTTTGACCGAAATCAAAGAGTACACATTTATAATTTTACTGTTTTATCATAATATTTCTTTTTACGTTTTAGGAAGCTCAGATTTTCCGGGCATACATCCCAGGAGAAGAGGAAAGAGGTCAGACTCCTGGATTTGTTCAAGTTATTTGTTTCATCACAAGATTTCCTAAGAATGATTTCATATCATCCGATGCCATGTCAAAACTTAGACAGGTAATACTTAACTATTTTTCACGAAATTCCAAATATTTTGAGCCGTAGAAAAATTAAACTGGTCCACATTTAAATATTATGAAGATAACTGGCCAACATGACAACGTAAATGTCATGTTAATTAGAATCAATTGGTGTAACACATGTTGGTTATACATGATAAGGAGTTACCCACTCAGCCACTGACCTGATTGTATCTATACATCATAAACAGTTACTGATCACCTGCCTGATTGTTTTCTCTGTGAACTCCAGTTTCACCCACTTCTATACAAGATAGATGCATGCACCTAGATGTATGCAAATTATTTGAATAAAAATATATCATGTCTCTGCTAGTCCTGGAAATTATGTAATAATTGTTGATTAAATCGTAAACACTATTTGTCTCTCTTCCTGTCTTGAATTATTTCCCAGTAGTTTGGAGTTCAGTAATAACTGGAAAATCATGTATTTTGTTTCAATCCCTTTGGAATATTGACAGCGACCAGATGCCTTAAGGATAATATGAATTTAGATTGCTTATTTATCAACAGTAGATAATCCCCTAGTTTGGATTTCATCAGATTAAAAGAGGCCCATCAAAAGATTTTACCTAACATTTACCGTCGTCACTGGCTTATTTATTTTGTCTGTGAAATTTTGTTGATACTAAACAGAACTGAACCTTTTCTGGGCTAATGTTTCTTTTAGACAATTAAACTGTATTCCTTTTAGACATTACTTCCATAATATTGTGTATGTAACAAGGAATAGGGTGGCCTGTATAACTTCATGGGTTTTCTCCGGGTCCTCCGGTTTTCTCCCACCTGCTGAAAAAAAATTGAACTATGTGTTAGTCCCCGAAATGACCTAGTTTGTGTCAGTGGATGTTAAACACTCTCTCTCTCTCTCTCTCTCTCTCTCTCTCTCTCTCTCTCTATCTATCTCTCCCCCCCCCCCCCCCTTTGTAGTTTACAAGGAATTCAAAATTACTCAAATATCTGTGTTGTTATGTTAAGTTTTGTATTTTCATTATTTTATAATGTAGAAAAACCCGACAGCTATCAGATCACCAGAAGAAGAGAAATCCCAGGAAATCCATGCATTTGATCTTTTAGTTGACCTGAATAAAAGTCATGTGATTAGTCCACATGTATATAATATATGTCAGGAAGCAAAAGAAACAACGTATTTTGAAGAGAATGATCTGAAGGCAATCTCTAGATGTAAGTATAATAAGGTAGCTGGCATGGTTTCGATTCTCTGTTTGTACGTGACAAGGAGTAGGGTCGCATGTCCAACCTCGTGGGTTTTCTCCGGGTCCTCTGGTTTCCTCCCACTGCTAAAGACCCTTACACGCAAGCAAATTATTGAAATAAAATTGAACCATATGTTAGTCCCGAAATGACCTAGTTTGTGTCAAGTGGACGGTAAACCGGATCTCTCTCTCTCTTTCTCCCCTCTCTCTCTCTCTCTCTCTCTCTCTCTCTCCATTAAAAAAAGTTATATAATGTTGATGGAATTTGTCAAGGTTGAGATAACCAATAACCCAAATATATTACAGTTGTCAATACATGTACATGTAGTTTAGAGATATCAAAATAGCAATTGAGGAAAATATCAGGAGCACTTTGTATAAGTAAATATTGACTTTCATGGTTCTAATATTAGAGAAAATGTGATCTTTCTAACCCATTTTGGAACTGAATTAGTCACAGAACATGCCAGTAAATGGTAAATAGCTAATCACATGACTCAGTCAATTTTGGGGCGCCAAGGAGAGAATTAGTAAAATTATTTTCAAAATTAATGTTGATTCTTTTTTTTCAGCTTTAAGTAAAGATTATACGACTCTGATGTCAGCCATGAAGAAATTAACACCAATAAAATATGGCCGCTGTGCTGAGACCAGTGACGTGACTAAACCCTGTAACTGTCGCTATGACGTCTGTATTGGTTGGTATCCATGCGGATTAAAATATTGTCGGGGTAAAGATTCTAGTGGCAAGGTTGTTAGTTATAGATGTGGTATTAAAACTTGCAAACGATGTCTCGCTTTCGATCATTTCGTCAAACAAAAATATCTTTGTCTATGGGATAACTTGTGAATAAAATATTCGTAGCGTAAAAATAGGATATGAATATTAAATTCACAAATTTTTCATTTCAAGTTTTATGACCTTTTCTATATAAAGCGATGGACACACTAGCCGAATGATTTGGTCAAATCAATTGGCGTCGAAATTCATCAAGTGTGTCCACTGTCATTCGACCAAATTGAGTGTGTCTGCCTAGTGTGTCTGCTTGTAGAATTCATTAGCCAATCACCAGTCATAAAGAGGTGTCACATGATTGTTTGAAGACATGGTCGCTGCCATGTTTAATCATGTGACGTGAAAGGTGATTCAATTGACTGGTGTATCAGACAAAGCATTCGTCTAGTGTGGCCACTCATTCGTCTGCAATTCAGCATCAGTGGATTCGGCTGAATCATTCGGCTGGTCTGTCCACCTTTTATGTTCTAATATTCATTAGGAGTTCTTTATAGTGTGATTGTAAGGATGTCTACATGGCTTCCAACGTTATTATAAAGTTTCTTGTGTTGGTACATGTACATGTATATGATGTTTCTTAGTATCTCGCTGTAATGTGTGAAACCTTAATATAATATTTAAGGTTCTTGCTATACACTGTGTGTGTGGAACCGTAATATAATATTTAAGTGTCTTGCTATACTGTGTGTGTGGTGGAACCTTAATATAATATTTAAGGTTCTAGCTATACAGTGTGAGGAACCTTAAAAGATTGTTATAGTGAAACACTTATGGCTGTATATTTTACAGTGATTTGGATGGAAGTCTAAGAGTAAACCATTTCAATTCAAAGCAGCATTAACTTTTCGCTAATTGGTAACAAAATCTTTTTGTTGATATATACACTTGGTATTTTGAAATTAAATTGCATACAAAATTTAGGACAAATTGTTTAAGTCATGGCTAAGATGTATTTTGGATTGTCCATCGTAATTTCCCCTTATCAGTGGTGTCGGACGGAGGGCCTGACAAGTAACTGCATCTAGTTATTCGGATAGAACAAAAAAAACGATGTCCCATGTACATGTTGCCGTCATGCACATTAATAAAAAACTCTTTTTAAAGTCAGATTTCAAAGAAAATCAGGTGGAAATGCTGCTGTTCAAGCAAAATTTGCTTCATTTCCAATTCAGATCACTGATGAACAAAACCGCCAAATGTTGTTTCGAATTAAGATAGGAAAGGTCATAATTCAATTTTATTTTGTCTACTGCCATATTAGGTAATACCAAAGCTTATCATAAAGAAATCCTGTCATATATTTTCTACTGTTTTGTATTTCTCGATGTTTTTTTTTTTTATCTTATAATTAATCAAATATTTATAATAACAACACTGAATGACCCCAACCATTTAAAGTGGATGACAAGATGAGATTTGGGTGGTTTGTGATTTAGATCTTAAAGTCTAATATTCGGTCAAGGGCTGTGGTTTTTATTGTGTACTTGTCGAGGAGTAGGGTGGCTTCTCTAACCTTATGGGTTTCTCCGGGTCCTGATTTCCGCTCCCACTGCTAAAGATCTCTACGTGAATTGTCTCTACTTCATATAAACTGCTGTGACATTATATTTAGTCATACAGTGGTATTGGACCTACTTTTGATATTTTATTTGGGTTTTGCGGAGTGGTGTGTTTATAAGGGTATTATCAGATGATTTTCTCCCTATTAACAATTAAAACTATGACATTATTATTGATTTATAAACCTTGTATTGATATAACTTTCTTATTTAAACATTGGTGAATGTTTGTATACCTTTATTGTTTATTTACATATTATAATACTAGATAGGGGTGTTTCGATATAATACCCTGACGATATGATACGTTACGATATAATACCTTGACGATATGATATGTATCTAGGGATGTTACGATATAATACCATGATGATATGATACGTATCTAGGGGTGTTACATTATGATACCTTGACGATATGATAAGATGTCTAGGGGTGTTACGATATAATACCTTGACGATATGATATGTCTCTAGGGGTGTTGTAATATAATACTATGACAATATGATACGTATCATGATGCGATAACTACCATGATCCATGATCTGTTTGTAGCTCATCATGTTTTTTGGGGATATCTAATTTTTCTCTGCATAATCTTGGCTAAAATCAATCTGATTAAACATACATTATGCAAGAGCTAAATCTGCCAACTGCACGTCTTTCTGTAGGCCTGAAATGTTATCTAAATTATTAATTAGACATTAATTAACTTATCCAGACCATAATCAATGCTCGATGTCATCGCTAGCCTGCAATATTTTCTGGAATCGAATCCTATCTGATGCTTAACGCTCATTGATAATTAAATCAAAAAATGGATAATCAAGACTATGTTTTTTATCGTACCGACTTTAGTAAAGATGATCGAGGCTAGGCCTAAAATTCAGTCGCTAAATTCTCGGTTCAGAGTGGATCAATTTGACTGAAATTTTCAGCAAATTCCCTTTACATTATCTAGTTTTTAACTATTATAGTGAGAACTGTCAGCTCTTTATCTAATCTCCCATAATGTATCTTTAAAACACAGATCCTATTTCGTTTGTTTTTAACTATTATAGTGAGAACTGTCAGCTCTTTATCTAATCTCCCATAATGTATCTTTAAAACACAGATCCTATTTCGTTTGTTTTTCCTATTTAATTGATTATTTAACATTTAATTAAGAAATCAAAATGAAAATAACAACACTAGAGAATCTACCAGCTTGAAAGTAAGTTTTATGTACCAAATCTTGAAGGAAAATATCTAAACTCATGATACACCGGTATATCATCACACCCCTAGATAACAGATGTGTATACAATGGGGGGTTGGATCATTCGAATGGTTAGCGTGTGCGCGTTGCATCATAAGGTCTGTCAGCTGACATGTTTTCAATTCCCCGGTTATACGTGACAAGGAGTAGGGTCGCCTGTCCAACCTCATGGGTTTTCTCTGGGTCCTCCAGTTTCCTCCCACTGCTGAAGACCCCTATGCGCAAGCGAATTATTGAAATAAAATTGAACCATATGTTGGTTCCGAAATGACCTAGTTTGTGTTGAGTGAATGTAAAACCCCATTACTCTCTCTCTCTCTCTTTTTGACATATTAAGGAAAATATCTTAACTCATAATACACCCGTATATCTCGTAACACCCCTAGATAATATTTATATCATATTAAGCTTTCAGTATATTTATCTACATTATCCAGTGAATTTATTGGAGATATATTTTCTATACATGGTTGTGTCTACATTTAAACCTCATCAGTGACATTCAAATATATATTCATCAGGTGATATGACTATTCAAATATATATTCATCAGTGATATGACTATTCGAATATAAATTCATCAGTGATATGACTATTCGAATATATATTCATCAGTGATATGACTATTCGAATATATATTCATCAGTGATATGACTATTCGAATATATATTCATCAGTGATATGACTATTCGAATATATATTCATCAGTGATATGACTATTCGAATATATATTTATGCTAAAGGTCAAAATGACAAGCACCAGTTCAATTATTACCCGACATTTTGTTAGGTACAGCTTGTTATTATCATGCCATCGGAGCCATAACAAAATTTAATTATGATAAAAAGAAATAATTTGATGATTATAAACTAAAAGTATTCTATTTTTAAGTCAAATATTCACTTATTAGACATTAGACCTAATATTTAATCCTATTATTAAATTTGAATATTATTCATATAAGAGAATTTATATATACATATAGATATATATTGTGAGACCTACTTCTATAAGCAATCCAATAATTCTATTGTGCTTCATTTATTCTAAGTTCAAGTTGTAACATGTGGTTAAAAATAGGGGAATTTGAATTCTTTTTGGTGGACATCTGAAAGAAGAGGTCGCAAACTAATATGGTTAATCAAAAGTGATTAGGGCAGAGTAATTGAGTTATGCGAGGCAGGTCGAAAAGTCTCCGTCTTAAGGCCTAATCACACTTCTGCTTCCATTGTAATACATTGTTATATATATGTATATCAAATAAATACTCAGTATCTGTTTTTCTCTGTTTTTATATAGTTACCATAGTTACGACAATAGTTACCATAGTTACGACAATAGTTACGACAATAGTTAATTTGTTATATTGTAGTATCTTCAATAGTTTGTTATTTGTTATTTGTTAATAGTACCATCTATACTTGGCTGCAAATAGCTCTGTCAAATTAGACTTTATTTATGCATATTTCTAAATGCAAAATGCAACTTACATTGTACGCCATTTCCATCAAAATTGAGATAAGTGCAGAGTGAAATACCTTAAGTCACTAAAACAATGTTTCCGTTCTCAGTTGACAGTTATCTGGAGTGTAGAAATGGTTGATTCTGTATAGACACTCGCTTTTAGTAGAATAGAAAAATTAGCCATATTGAAGTTGGAGGGGAACTAAGATACATTAAGTTGATTTTTGAAAGCTTTATAAAATAAAAATGTGATGTTACGTGATATCTCTGGACCCTTATTAAAAAAAAAAAAAAAACTAGATTGATTTTAGTTTAAGTACGGATTTTAGTTGAAATAAGTACCAATGTTAGTTGTACTAATGTTAGTTGAACTAAGTACGGGTTTTAGTTGAACTAAGTACTGGGCCCTTATTCACAAAAACTTAAACTAAGATACAATCAAAATTTTAAGAAATACTGCAATTCGATTGGCTGACCAGTAAAATCAATTTGCATATATCCAATGAAGATGCAGTATTTCTTAAAATTTCTTTTGTAACTTAGTTTAAGTTTTCGTGAATAAGGGCCCAGATTTTAGTTTTGTGTTAAAAAAATTGTTTTAGTTTTCATGATTAAGACTCCAGATTGTATAATAAATAAAACAAATTAGTTGAGTAATATCGGCTCATCTTTTCTTGTTGTGGTAATTAAAGATATATCTGTTGTAAAATTATTAGCAAAAAAAGCTGGCGTCTTTTTCTAAAAGATTTTGAGTAATACACAATTATTTTTCTCAGTCTGAAATAGAAAAGTGATTAGATTTTAAAATTTAATGATTTTAAAACAATATTTAATTTGTGCTTCTACTAATTGATATTATATAACTTGTGTGAAATGTGTGTAAATTATTCATGGTGTGGTTTGTTTTAAGATACTTTTTTAACAATGACTCTGCAAGTGTGGTTAGTGCTAAATGATAAGGCCAGCTCAATTTTTCGTCATAGGTCACAAGATGTAAACAGGGCTAGCACTAATCCTAACCATAACCCTAACCCTGGACCTAACTCAAATGCTTACCCAAACCATAACCGACAATCTCGCCAACAATTACAGTCCTAAACTTATTTACATCTCAGCGACCTTGACAAAAATTGAGCTGGCCTTAACTTTTAGATTTAACCCTTCGGTTGTTGGGTCGATGAAAACATAGTTTCAAAAAATAATTTATGTATTCTGTAACAGGTTAGGTAGCATGACTATAGTTTATTTTAGAACTAATTGTATTTTTTACCGTATATGTGATATACAAAATATATATGCTGTTATTTTTACTATTCGTGCCAATATTCTATATAACTCTATATTTTATAAAATAAATACACATTCTACTTTATTAACTGTCTTTTGGGTTTTTTTTATTGATCACTTGGAAATCCCTTTTTTTATTTTTACTAAGGTATCTGTGGGTAAAACAGCTCTTACATTTTACAAGTTGTATATATTTAACTTACCGAGGAATCCCTTTCAAATCAAATTACAATATTGTGAACATTGAATCTCTAAAAGGATATTTTCCTCTAAATGCAAATAACACACCAAGGCTTTAACAGGCATTATACAAGAGCTAAATCTGCCTATTGCAGGTCTTTCTTTGGGCCTTAAATGTTATCTTAATTATTAATTAGACATTTATTAACATGTCAAGACCATAATAAACTCTCGATGCTATCAGATGTCTCTGATTTTAAGTAAATTAGAATGGTTCAGCCATTTAATGATTTAATTTGAAAATGGAAAGTCAAGGCTAAGACTCGAATGACAAGTACAGTGGTTAAGGTCAATACACATACCTTGTCAAAATTACATCCATTGATAACTTCGCTCAAAATAAAGTAATTTGAATGAAATTTCAATATATTCATTTCACATTATCTATTTTTGAAATACTATAACGAGAATGGACAGATCTTTATCTAAATCTTACATAATGCTTCTTTAATGTAATATTTGGATCTTCAAGACCGATAATCCACTCTATTTTACCAAGAATCTTACAAATATTTTCATTATTCATATCCTTCGAAAAAACGGTAACAGTTATGTTGTAGTATACCGGTGTTGTTGTTTGAATCAGTACCTAGTGATATATGAAAATTGAGGCACCTAAATCTACCTCCCCTGCCTCATTATTTCAATTTTGTCAAAATTCTCTTTTGAAGTTTAAAGGGAGATAATTCAGTCAATCTTATTTGCTTTCATTTATCATTGTAAAATAATCTATATTTACAAGACTTAGTTTGTGTCTATAAATTAATCTATAGTGTTCTGTCTACACCATTACTGTTTTATTTGACTGTGTTCCTCTCGTGAAATAAAACACGGTTTAACGGCCTACTGTTCTGATCTACTGGGCTAATAAAGATGCAGTGTGCTATGAGAGAAATATTGCCCTGTCAGCTGTGTTTCTACCTACTCCTCTTCAAATACCAACTGGCAAGGGATCTTTAACAAGCACTTCCTTCATCCTGCTGCTCTTGCACCAATGATAGGGAGACCCCACTGGGAAAAGTAGGGGAACTTACTCGGCAAAACAGGGATAAAAACTGGGACCCGGAATAATCTAGAGACAATTTCAAGACCAAAATTGTTCATGCAGAAATCAGAGATTTTTTCCAAAAGTGCCATTTTTTGGTTACTTTTCATCAATAAATTTGGGAGAAAAAAATAATCATTTTCAGTCCTTGATATTTGCATGTTCTCTCTAATACAGGTAGATCTGCAAGGAACAAATATTCCACAATATTTTAAAAAATACTATGTATTTTCTCATTCATTTTTTTTTTTAATTATTTAAGTTTTCGGTCTCTTTTAATTTGTTATATTTTTTCTGTTTTTTTTTTATTTTTAAATCGATAGGCCTAGGCCTGAAATTCTTTGTTTACATTCACGACCAGGAATAATAATAAAAAAAAACCCGCAGTCTTGAACTTAGATGAAAGAAATAAAAACAAGCCTTCATACAACCACAAGAAAACATAAATATTTAATCGTCAATCAGGTTTATTTGAGCATTGAATTATTTCAATATTAACATGTTCTAAATAGGGGCTTTTTTTTTTTTGGCAAACATATCACCCGATGGTGGTTTTGCTGTCAAAAGGAATTGATCGGCTGAGAATCACGTGACGTCGGCAATACTATATACCGGAAAACACCGGAAAACAACCGGAAAACACCATTTTATATTGAATACCGGAAAACACCGGAAAAACACTAAATACCGGAAAACATCCTAAATACCGGAAAACACCCTAAATAGGTAACCCGGAGCCTGGTCCTCTGTGTGCGGTTTTGGACCAAGTGAGCGCCGATGAAGGAAGGTCAAGGTCATGTTCGTTTTACAAATAGCCCCCCTCCCCCCCCCCCCCAAAAAAAAAAAAAAATCCGATTTTTTTTTCTCCCAAATTTTTTTGACGAACAAAATTTTCTGTCCCCCCAAAAAATAGAATTTTTCCGAAAAATTGGTTTTACAAAAAAAACATTCCGTAGGAAATAATTTTACAGAGAAAAATACTGGAAACAAAATTTGAATTTTTTGAGAGAGAAATTTGGGAGAAGAAATTCTTAAAAAAAATCTGAAAAGAATTTTTTCTTTGACCGTAGGCGATCGCTCGCTTGTATGTTAATGAACTTATTTCATCAGCGCTCACTTGGTCCAAAACCGCACACAGAGGACCAGGCTCCGGGTTACCTATTTAGGGTGTTTTCCGGCTTTTAGCATGTTTTTCAGTATTTAGTGTTTTTCCGGTGTTTTCCGGTATTCAGTATAAAATGGTGTTTTCCGGTTGTTTTCCGGTGTTTTGCGGTATATAGTATGGCCCCGTGACGTAAACTAACACAGGGTCAGAGTTGAGAGTTCAGAGGTCATACACCTCTTCAATAGTGAGATAATATATTATAAAACATATCAATTTATTAACTTTATATTGCACGGATATCGTATTTATTTCCCAGTTGCATGGGTGTGTAACCACATTTTTATACATTGTGTTGTAATGTTATTTTTAGCCCGAGATAGTTAAGTGCGCGTCTGAAAAAATAGTCCAAAATATGGCGTATAAATTTAGAGAAAATAGTTCACAATTTTTATCAAAACATCTTTCTTATAATCAACCAATTTTAGATTTAAAATACATAGGAATACTATAATTTATATATAAGAACCTTTGGCTAAACAATTTAAAGCGAAATTGAAACATTGTTGCACTTTATAACTATGTGACGAGGCCATCATATTCAGAAGCATTCACCCCAAAAGAACGTCCTAATTCGGAGATTTTCGCAATATTCATTTAGTCAACTAGCATAATTCCTCTTTTAATCGAATCTACTATAATATTGGGATCATGTAGTAATCGACGGGTGTAAATCTGAAACAGAAAACTAGGTGTAAAAGGTGGAAATAGTTTATTTTGTGCAACGGCCAAATCCTGTATCGTACCGTAACTTGACAGTCAAGACCTTATCCAGTGCAGTATTCTATGGCCGAGATTTAAACCTCCCAAACGTAAATGCTGCTATCTGGTTCCAAGCAAATGTGCTGCTGCTGGGACCAAAGATTCAAATAATTCACCATGCCCTTGCCGGACAGGTAAGAGAACTTTTAACTTGATAAATAAAGGAATAAAAATGGCCCTCCTAGTCCTAGTACTATTCTGTGTGTGTGTGTGTGTGTAAACACAGCCCCAAACGTGAGTTAATGACACACTGATCAAATTTATACTACCATTGATCTAGTAGCACCTGGCATAATTTTACACATTCATTTGGGTTCAAAAATAAAAACTACAGAATAAATTATTCCCTTTGTCTAGTTTTTCATGAAAAGAAAACATTGACAGGCTTTTGAAATGTGCAGGTAAACTAGGAAAGCATATCCTTGTTGACATACACAGTTAAAGAAATTCTCATACATCAACGACAGTACCTGGTATGACCCAAGTAATAACCCAATCCTACCCTATAATAACTCATTCTAACTAATTATTATCTCAAACTGACAGGCTGCTTCAATTATTTCAACCACAATGATTTAATATCCGGAATATTTGCAAAAATTATATGGCAAACCTGACGGCTTATTTATAAGCATGGGTGATAAAGTTCAGGTATTAATACATTTTCTGTAAATTATAGTATTTTTTTTAAATTAATTAATTGAAACTCACTACAAACTTGTTTATAGTAATGTTTGATAGTATTGGGATTATACCGATAAATAGGGGCCTAACTGGAATGGCGAACATTGGCTATCTACATTTTTTGCAAATTTACAGTGATTTAAAACATTGTTTTTGAAGTAATTGCTTAGTTTTACATGAGATACCTGTAGTGGGTGGTATTATTACATGTAGGCTGTAAAATCATATTGAGGTTTACATGAGAAATTAGACCTTATTATAACATATATATATGTATATGTGAGAGCTACATGTACCTGAGGGGATCAGGTGGCTAAGTGGGTAAGACGCTGGCTCGCTAGCCTGGAGGTCGGGTGTTCGATCCCTGCATTGGCCAAGAAAGTTCATCCAGATTTTCGGGCGTGGTTCCCCCTTGTCAGTGATGCAGTACGGAGGGCCTGACAAGGACAGCTGTCTAGTCCTTCGGATGAGATGAAAAACTGAGGTCCCGTGTATACATTGGAATGCACGTAAAAGATCCCTTGGCAGTTGGAATTCGATATAAGAGTAGGCGATAGTGCCGCTGCCAGGGCAAAATTTCCCTCATAGCACACTGTATGGCGTATGCCCGTCTTCATTAGCCCAGCATAGGAGCAGAACAGTAGGACGTTAAACCCCATTTCATTTCATTTACATGTACCTGAGAGACTATTCACAAATAGTCTTAGAAACCATCAATTTATCCCAGAAACCATTAATCAGATAGTCTTCAGTCTTTCTTTGCTCCCAAATTTTCCAACAGTTACAAGATGCCACCTTCCTTGTTTATGCATTCATAATATTTATTTGTGGGCAATACCACTTCGATGGAAGCGTATGTTAAATGAAGCTATTTCACATACACATCACATGTATATCTTTGAATCAGTTCACCAGACTTTCAGGTGAAGAATATTGGGTTAAAACTGGATATACATGTATACAGTTCATTTCAGAATTCCTACAAGCATTTAGGGAAAGTCCAGGGGATAAGGGTCATTTTCTTGGAACATCATTTTGCTCTCCTGCACTCGGCACACGGATTGGACATTATACATGTATGAATACTAGAAATAAATGTGGGGGTTGGATGGCTGAATGGTTAGCGCATGTATGTCGTATCATAAGGTCTGTCATTGAGTCAACTGGTGTGGTTTTGATTCCCCTGTTTAAG